CGACTCTGAAGCCGTGCTTGGGCTTCTTTGCCTCTGGAGCTGCAGGCTCGGCATCGTTTTGGCGTTTGGCAGCCATGATTCGAGGCGACAGAGCTGATGAGATGTGAATCTCTGTGAGAGCTGTCGTTGATGAGAATTCTGTCTCCACAGTTTTTCTCGGTGGACCAAGGTGAAGAAAGTGGGACTCATGCATCGCAGACCGGGACGGCGGGTCTACGGGTACCTCATGGGGCGGTCTCGGAGGTTTCGGACGGAGCTACTCCGTATGTGCTCCGTAACCCGACCCGCGATTCGTCATATAAGGGGATGCATGACGGATTCTCTTTTTTCACAGGGCGAAACAGCCTGACGCATGGCAAACATTGGAATAGGGTGTTTGTTGCATTTTGGACCAAGGCCGAGAACAAGTGCGGCGGCCAAGGGAGGTTGCAGACGGCTATTTGCCGCTCAGAAGTGGGCTAACTGAAGGAGCTGGCTGGCAAGTTGGCAGGAGAGGAGAGTTGCGGGATTGGGATGGATGCATGGCCAGGTCACACAGACAGAGAGGGAGCAGAACGGGAATCTGCGGATGAATGGATTGGACTGGACGACAAGGTACCAACACATCAAGGTGATTTCTGTGCCCAGCCTCGGATTAGTCTCTGTACCTTGTGAAAGGGCAAGGGCAAGAGAGAGAGATAACCTAAAAGAATGCTTTGAGTCACAAGGACAAATGTCGTATTCCTGATGAAGCCCGGCTAACACGTCAATTATGCATCAGCGCCCATTATTCACATTTCAATCCTCAGCAAAGCCGCGCTAGACGGGCAGCTCAAACAACAGGGGACCCAGAGTGAATGTGAGCACTGTAATTTAGCGGCCCCTGCCTGGAAAGTCTCTTTTTCTTCAGTGTCTTGTGAGCAACAGCAGAGGGAATCATAAGCGGCCGCGTGCATGATTTCATCAGAAACCAAACCAGAAACGTAGTCGGGGTTATCTCATCTCCACCGGAAAAACAAGAGCCAACGCAGACTGACAAAACTCTGCTGTTACTTGACGTGCTTGATAAGTACCTTGAAGAGTGATGATCATACGCCCCAGAAGGCCAGAAATGGTCAAAAAGACCTCGGGAAAGAGAGTGATTTCTATCCTGATTCCGGTCTTGGAGTAACATGACAATCACTCGCTCGCTCGCTCGGACGACTGGATCCCGTCTCTTTGTCTTGCCGTCTCCACCTCCTCAGGGTGCTAACATGGATGGAAGTGTCAGTAAAACCGGGAGGTCTACAGTTAGCGTTGGCTCTGTGTTGGTCTAGCTCTAGGGGATGATTCACACGCGCTTTCACCGCCATCGGCGCTGGGGCTGGCTCCATGGCTTGCCCGCTGGCTGGCTGCTGGCTCCCGCGATGATCAGTGTCGTATCATAACAAGTCCCCATCCATCCATCCATCCCATCAAGTCTATCCTGGACCCTGCAGCCGGCGCCTCTTTCTTTCCGTCCAGTCCAGTCCAGCTCAACCTCTCTTGCCTCAGGTCGCTGACTTACACATCAAACCCCAACAACCTATTTTTTTTTTTACAGTTCAATCCCCCCGCCGTCAAGATCTCTTCTCCTTCTTTTCTCCCCTCGTACGCCTTCCAGGGGAAGACGGGACTCGCATAGACTCACTCCATCGTCATCGTCGTCATATGGCCATCGGTGGATGACGTCCCACGATCCCAGATTCCCCATCTTTGAGATCCCCATCCCCATCCCGAACCTGAACCTCGCTCGACCCACGCTGCGCCCTGACAGCTTCGACGCAGGACAAGGCTCACATGGCATGATACGTGATATCCACCTCGCTCGGCTCATTTAATTATCAGACTCTTGTCTTGCACCCTCAGCTTCACTCTCAGATCCAGCCTCAGACTTCGGCTTTGTCACCTGTCGCGAGACCTCTCCTCCCTGCATTGAACCTCGTCGCCTTGACCACCACCTCCCAGCTCCCTCGCCCTTGTAATTCATGACGAGCTTCTGCCAGCTCCATCGTGGTTGCTGTTCCAGCCACTCGACACCACCATCATGCCTATATTTCAGGCTGATTTAGACCACCATGAACCTGTCGAGCCCGCTCCAATCGACGTGCCTACTCAGAGCCTGAGACGCCTTTCAGAGGAGAGCATCCGTACTGAGCTCTGCGAAGGGCCCATTCCCGACAGTCCACCTCGGCCTGGCACTCCCAAGAGAAGTGAAAGTGGTGAAGCTGCGATATCGGATCGGGCTGCTCTGATTGAGAGACTCAAGAGGGCTCAGTCTCCAACTTGGATCCCAAACCGACATGTATGTCATGATCGCCTCCTGTCTTACTCTACCTGCTAACCAAAGCTCCCCAGCTTGAGTCGATCCTCCAGCATCATACATCTCCCACGAAGCGCCCTCAAACTCCAACCGAATCCTCAACCCTCCTTCCACCCGCTCGAATTACCCCCGAGAAGACCGACAGCCAGTCCGAATCAGACGACAACAGATTGCGCGATGGCCTCAGCATTGAGCGGCCGAGGTCGGCGTTACACAGCGGAAACTTTACTGAGGAACAAGCGGTAGCCAAAGACCATACAGCTCCCGTCGGCAGAGCACATATCGACAATCATGATGCCCCGGCAGAGTCCCCGTGGGTCGCTACGTCACCTCCCAGGCATTTCACACCCTTCCAGCATGACAAAGGAGTTCCATTCCCAGGCAGCGTGGACAGTTTTCAATCTGGCACCTCGCCTCTCTCGTCATCTCTGTCGTCGAGTTTCGTATATAAGCCGCCTACGAGCCCTCTGGTCCAATCGCACAGTTATGACGAGTTAGATATTCCCATGCCGCTGGACGGCTTCGGTTTCTCTTCTGGTCGAAGCAGCGCGAGACGCTACATGCCAAACTCGGCTACTACATCCCCCTTCATGTCACCATCTCCGGGATACTCCTTGCCTCGCGTATCTTCATACCGACGGGAGGCTTTCCCGTACCAAGCACATCAGCCCCGGAGGTCATTGACCTCGACACCAAGCTTCATGCAGCCCGGCACTTCGCCACCAACTCCTGCTTTTCTCAGGCCACGTCGGGCTTCCTTTGTAGCCGACTCTTCACCACTTCATCATGCGTCCATGGTCGGTTCATATGAAGAGAGCATTCTCCGTGGCCGCATGTCAACCACTCCCTCCAAGCCGTTGGACTTTGTTGCTCAAATTGGGGTGTTGGGCCGAGGAAAATGCAAGTCAAGCCTCAAGTGCCCACCACATGTCAGTCTTGCGTTCCCCGCAGTGTACTACAGTTACGGCAGCACCTCGCATGGCCGCTCAAGCTCTGAAGACGGCCCGAGCCCATATGTTGGTCAAATCGATCTCGAAAATGGGCTTCCCAATCCGGATGAGGAACACCGGGCCAAGAAAAAGGCTCAGAGTCGATATGCCGACAGGAAGCCTCTAGAGGACGAGATGGACATCAGCATTGCCACTCCAGGGTCTGAACAAGAGTCACGCCGCAACTCTAGAACCAAGCGCAGATCTGGGTCTCCGAAAGCTCCTCCAGGAGGAAGCTACAGGATTCCCGAGAAGGGGCAGATTCAAATCATCATTAAGAACCCGAACAAGACGGCTGTCAAGCTCTTCCTGATCCCTTACGATCTGGCAGGCATGGAGCCAGGCACCAAGACGTTTGTGCGGCAGCGCAGCTATTCAGCTGGACCGATCATCGAGAATGTCCCCGTCACGTCTGAGGCAGAGTCGTCAGACCGGCCAATTTTGAGGTATCTCGCTCATCTGCACATCTGCTGCCCTGCCAAGGGACGGTACTACCTCTATAAGAGCATCCGAATTGTCTTTGCAAATCGCGTCCCTGATGGCAAGGAGAAACTGAGGAACGAGACAACTTGGCCAGAACCTCGTTTTACTCCATACAAGCCCATCCGAGTTATGCATCCGCCGACGCCTGCCCTGTCCGGGCCTGCTGCCATGCTGGCTGCTGACAAGGCTTTGCGCAGACGCAGCGTCAGCTTCTTCCCAGGCCCATCCTCTCAGGCATTTGACGCCATGGAGGGCATGTATCAGGGGCCTGGTTCTTCATCTGGAGGGTTTGCAGCTACCAACACGGTGCCAATTGACCCTATCCCCTTCCGTCTCCCTGCACGCGACCGCGTGGGAAGCGATGTGAGTGACACCACCAACACTACTTCTGCTCTCACGATGGGGTTGCGCTCTCCTGGTTCGTCCCAGGCAAGTCGACCATCGACGAAAGACTCGACGAGCGCGATGCCCTGGGGTCCTACGCTTTATGAGAAGTTGAACAAGGGCGAGCCAGGCTATGGCGGCAACGCTTTTGCTCTCAACAACGGCCCAGGCACACGCGCTGGTGCTGAGGGCTTGCTATCCCAGCGCCTCCGCTCCCTCGGCATGAAGCCACCTCCTCCTCCTGACGCATCTGGCCATGACGAAGATGCGTCTCTTTGAATACAACACATATGTGGCATCCATTCTGTGGATACTTGCAAGATGCTGCATTGTACATACACTCCTCTCAACTCAGAGAACCCTAATTGCTACATTTTGGGAGTCTCGGATATAGACCCTGCAGGGCTTTTGCCCTTTGGATGGCGTTTCTCCGGCTGGATTTCACCCAACAAAGGAATGGGAATTGGGATTGGGTCATCAGTTTGCTTGCTTTCAAGGCGTTTGGAGTAGCTCGATACCATGGAAGGCAGGTCATTTAGATAGGTACATAGTCAAGTAGTTTAGTTTGACAAGAATGAAATATATCAGAATCATCATCTTAGTACTTGGGTAGTGGATATTTCAATAGATGAGTATATTGTACACGAATCAACAACAACAAAGGCTCAGGAGAGTTATACATATCTACATACAGGTTCTTTTCATTTATCCATCCCATTTACCTCCTCTTATCATGCCTTCATAACTCCTTTTCGTACACTGATGCAACCCACATCATTTTTTTTTTCTATCCTCGAGGCTTTGGTTTAGTCCTCTCCCTATATTTACTCGACTACCTCCCGGGCAAGGGGAGGAGGTTTGCTCCTGTCCATCTTTCCGCGCGTCTTGGCGCCGTGGTGGTTCTTCTTCGAGAAGGTCTTCTTCTGGCGGATGTTACGGTGAGGGCGCTGATCGTACCGGTCCCAGAAGTCGTTCCAGTAGCTGAACCGCTCGCGGGCGGCCTGCTGGTCCGGGGTCTCTGGCTTAGGGTCCTTGGCCTCGATCTTGACCTCGCCAACCTCATCTGCGCCCTGCTCCTTCGTGGCCTGCTCCCTGCGCCGCTTGGCCCACATGGCTGCGTACCGTCGGACCTTGTTGTGCAGCATGCTCTTCCACTCCTGTATGTCTGTGGGGCTCCTGGGGTCGGGCGTGACGCCGAGGCTCGACTCACGCTTCTTCTCCTTGGCTAGTTCCTTAAGGAGGGCCTCCTTGACCTTCATCAGCTCATGGTAGGACATGGTCTGCAGGACCTTGTCGAGGTCACGGGCAGACACCTCCTTGCCGTCGATCACATATGTGGTAGGCATGCTCTCGATCTCAGAGGTGGTGAAGGCGTGGTGCAGACGGGGGTACTTTTCCTCGACGCTGGAGACCTGGCGCGAGATGTCTTCGGACCACGCTGCCATCTTGCGCTTCTCGAGCCAATCCTGCTGTAGGCGGTAAACAACGTTCTTGGGCGCCTTGAGGATACGCGTGTTTTGGAGCTGACGCTTCTCCTTGTTGGATCGTTGCGGGTTCCATCCTGTCCAGCCTGGCATGAGCATGGTCTCGCACCAGTACATTGCCCGCTCCCATCTGCCCAGCTCAGTCAGGTTGCGGATAGCCAACGCCCAGATGGCCCTTGTAAGCTTGAAGCCTGCGCCCACCACCTTGTCAATGCTGTCCGAGAGCCCCTGGGCGTCACCCTTCTCCTTGTACACCCTCAGGACGACATTCATAATGCGAGAGAGGTCATACTCGCTGCCAGCAAAGACTCCCTCGCCCGAGGGTTTCTTGCTGGACTCTAGGATGCGCTCCCAGGCCTTGTCCCAAAGCTCCAGGACCTCGTCGTACTTTTCTTCCTTGTAGTGCGCAAGCATCAGGGCCGACACCACAGTAGGGGGGAACTGGTCCTGGCTCTGGTACTGGGGGAACACTTGGGCAAACAGGCTCATGAGCTCTTCAGCGGAACCAAGTTCACGGAGCTCCACAAGAAGCGCAATAGCTCTTCCAACATGCTGGCTCTCCTCTCTTAGCCGATTAATGTTGCCCGCATCATCGAGGCCGCTGGCGACAGTTGCGTGGCGGCCGGCGGTCTTGGACGCTTCCACAGACTTGCGGAAATGTTCGACAAACTCATTTGCCAGATTCTTGGTCCGTTGCTCTCCAGGCTTCCGCTTGGCAGCGGCGCTGACGAGCGCAACGAGAGCTCCAAAGGTGACGGGCATCTCCGACTTTTGAAGACGAACGTGGATTTTCTCAACTAGTTCATACTCGCCAACGCGCGCGGCTCCCGCCATGACGATGGCGAAATGCTCCGGCGTAACGAGGAAGAGCTGCTCCTCATCGGCCCGCTTCAAGAGTGAGTAGGCGGGATGGATCTGGTTGACCTTGACGAGAGCTTGAAGAAGGAAGCCATAAGTTTCGTCGTCCCATTCCACGTTGAACTCTCGCATATGCCGGAGCAGGTCGTAGACCTTGTCAATCTTGCCCTCGACGCCGTAGAAGTTGATGAGCTGGTTCCAGATGGCTGAGTGAGTAAGCTTGCGCTCAGTCAGTTCGATACACAGGCTCTCTGCCTCGGAGAGGAGGTTGTTCTGGCAATATGCTACCACCAGAGCCAGTGCCATCTCCTTGCTGATGGGTATTCCGATCTGCTGGGACCGGCTCAGGAATTCCAGGGTCGTGTCTAGGTCTCCCTTCTTAGCACTCATCGCCATGACATGAGCGTAAGTGAAGGGATCCGGCTTGTAATTCTGCGAGATCTCATCGAAGCATTTCATGACGCCATCGTAGTCGCTCACTCGCATGTGAGCTTTGAGCACCGTGTTCCAACTGTCGATATCCGGTCTCACCCCGTACTCCTCCGTCATCTTCTCAAGCTCGGCCCAGGCACCCTGGAGATCTCCAGCTTGGGCACAAGCATTCAGGGGGCTTCTAAAGCCGCGCGTGGTTTTGAGCATCTCGGGGAACTCTTTAGCGTACTGGTTCCACAAGTCTCGCGTTTTTTGGACATCACCCTGTGAAGCATACAGCTTCATGAATTTCTCGTAGCCCCATTGGTTCAGGCCACCCTTGGTTCTGATCCAATCCTGGCGCAGCTCCTCAAGTCTGGGTGTGTTCTTGGGAAAGTTGATCTTGAACATGCCACGCAAGACAGGCATGGCGGGTACGGCACCAGGGAGCTCTCGGAACTTCTGGTAGAGAACAGGAAGCTTTTGAATGGTGGCGCGAACCTCTTGTTTCTCGTACCAGCGATCAAACATGCGAACAAAGTAATCGTTGTATAGATCGGCATCGTTTAATGTTTCGAGGATGATGGCAGCTTGCTCCGGACGGCAGGGTTCCCACAGTGCCATCCTTGCAAAGTGTCTCCGAAAGATGCGGAAAGCAAGGTTGGAAACCTCGTCGGTCTGGATCTTCTTGTAGTATTCGGCGCCTTCTTCTGTGACAAGATACTGGCGGAAGGCGAAGTAGAGGTCTCCTTGGTTGGGAAGAGTTTCGAGCTGCTGAAGCCGCTCAGTGCTGAGCGGTCTCCCTGGTGACTTCTTGCGCTGTTCCTCGCAGTATGTGATCCAGACCTGGAGGGTTTCTGCCCACTTTTGCGAGCTCATGGCGTCTGCAATGAGATACTCGAGGCCATTGCTGAATCCCGTCTCTTTAAGTCCCTTTCTGAAGTACTCCACAGCCGACGGCATATCACCAGCGCGAAGCAACAGAATGATTCCCGCTGTCAAGAGTGACTCTGTCCATTCCTCCGAGGGTATTTGTCGAAAGACGGAAACTGCTCTCCCTGTCTCGACGACTCCGTGAGATTTAGAGAGATATTCGACTACCGATCCCCGGACAGGACGTCGCTGGTCATTGTCCATTCCACAGTATAAATCCCAGACATCTTGATACTCATGTCCATCCGCCTCCAGAAGCTCCTGGATTTCCTCAAGTTCCGACTTGTTCCCATTGTTCTTGGAAGTGTTCGAGGCGAGTCGTGTGCTTGCGTCTTGTCCTTCGTCCGAGGGCGGGGAAGGCTCTGAAGAGTACGGCCGTGTCTGTGTTACGACAGCTGTCCGTTGCCCAGCTTGGGAGCTGGGAAGCTTGGGGTATATCTGGCGAAGCAGCGGAAGAGTCGAAGTCGGATAGAGGAAGTCGAGCATAAAGGCCGAAGCAACCAATGTCGGCTGCAGCTGACGGGAGATTATATCTGAGCTCGCGGCCTCGACATCGACAGCTCGCGACGAGCTGGGCAAGGCGCTGGCGAGCTCGATTGCGGAGGCGCCATGCTGCCAGAAGCCGGTGCGCAGCTGGCGAGATCGATTGGTTGTGTGCGATTGCCTTATGGCGCGCTGGAGGCTGCGCGTTTCAAGGCCGGCAGCCGTTCGTTCAAGCATTGGGTCGAAGAGGGATCTGCTTTATGCCAGCATGCTTAGGTGAGTTGCAAGAAAGCAAATTCGGCGAAGGAGGGATGTCGGTTCGTGGGGTGCAGGGATTGAGAGACACAAACAAATGGATGCGGGGGAAGCCTGATTAAGCACGAGATAACCCGACAGAGCAGGACAAATGAAGCTGATTAAGAGCTTGGCACCGACAAGACTCGCATGCAAAAAGAAGAAGCAAAAGAGTTAAGCAAGGCCTAGCTTCAAGATCATCACCATCAGCTCATTGACGCTCTCATGGCGAAAAAAAAAATATATGGAATTGTCAATGGCCAATGGGCGAGGCTCCAACTACGGGAAATAGCGGGCCTGACGGTTCGACAGTTCTCGACTCAGGACCCCGGCCTTGTAAGCAGAAGCAACCTAGTGGTCCAAGAAAAAATTGGCACACTTCGCAAGTACCTATTCTGCCTTTTAATCCGCTGAATCACAGCATAGAAGGCTTATGATTATAAATCTAAGAATTTATATAGAGTCTAGAATACTATTTATTTATTTTATATTTTTATTTATTTATTCTAATCTAATTAATGTCTATATAGCCCGGCAAAGGTCTCATTGCCTACCTACAGTATGCCATTTATTTCTTGGACTGGGTGGCAACCAATCAGTGTCAACCCTGGACTAACGGCTTCACTACAGGTATTAACAGACAAATACAAGTCGTGATAGTTTCAATTGTTTATCAATTTGCTGGTCAGACCAATGTCAAACTCGGCTGCTTTGAATATCGTAATCGTACAACAAAAGAAAAAAGAAGAAAAAACGTGTTGCCCAAGGATACAATCTTTAATTGCAAAAACCCATAGCGCCCTCTTATCCATTGGTTTCCAAAAAAGATGCCATCCGTTTTACCGAACAAAGGAAACTCCCCACGTGAGATATCCAGCTCTCCGTGCGTTTTGATCGGGGGAAAAAGAAACAAGCAGAGAAGAATAATAGGTGGCATCCAGTCATCGTACAATCAAAGATTAAGGTATATGATGTGGGTATCGATCTGGTTTCCATCTTCGTTCATTTGGAACGAGTGGAGATGAATGTACTGGTAGGTTGATAGGTGTGTAGACAGGCATAGTGTTGCCTTTATTTGTCCGTCTTGACCCCTTCCTTCTCGTCAGAAGAAGAGGCTCGGACCTCGTTCCGCAGACCGGACAGGACATCGGCCTGTCGGGCCGCCGCCTCGAGCTCCATCTCCAGCCGAGGTCCCCGACTCCGGCTCCGTGTCCGTTGTCGCCGCCGGAAGGGGCGCTGCTGCTCGATGGGGGAGGCAACGCGGGAGGGACAGTGCTCGCGGCGGAGCCTGGCGTGGAGAAGTCTTCGTCTGGTTGGCGACAGAACCCTCCTCGGGGATGAGGCCCGTGATGTGTAGCCGAGAGAGGGTGACACTGCGCGGCGGCGAGAACGTCCTCGGAGGGTGCTCGACTCATCCGAGGGCGCACAGCGGATTGAGCGGACGTTGGCGCCGCGGTTCATGCTTCGCTCCCTCTTGCGGCCTCGCATGCCATCGTGGTCGGCAGCGGGAGAGACAATGGTGGGTGGTTCAGCAAAGGAGGAGCTGCCGGGTGCGACTCTCGCCGACATTGTGCCTTGGCTCCTTGGCGAAGTAGAAGATGATCGAGTTGTAGGTAGGATACGGAGCGGATGTGATGTAGATACGGCAAGGCACAGAGTGAAAGCGAGAGGTGGTGATTGATGATCAAGACGGAGTAATAAACAAGACAAGGAGAGTATTATATAAGGAGTCTCTTTGTATTGGATTGTTTGTTGGGTCACTCGAGTAACAACAGACTACCTCTAGGGATGGAGTCGTCTGATGCAGGGAGACGTGGCAGCGGCATGTACGTTTGTTTTTGTGCAACTCGTGAAAAATGGCAAGAGTAGAAAAAAAAGTTGGGCCTCCCTCTACATTATAAATAGTTGCAGGGTAAAACAAACAAAAGGGGGCAACGAATTGATGGAGAGAGGAGGAGGAGGCCAAGGGATGTGGATGGAGGGGGTGCGGTAACGGCATTGACATCCGTCCCATCAGCAGGCGAATTAGAAGCAAAGAAGCGTAAGGAAAAAAAAGAAGCAAGATCCTCTCAGGGCGTCAAATGTCAGTCATATGATGGAATGGGGTTGTTGCTTGGCTCGGGACCCTTTGCCTTTTTGCCTTTCGCTTTGGATGTTTTGGGGTCTGGGTCGCCTTACTTTCTTACTCCCCCCCTTGTCATCCATGGATGTTTCTCCTGGACCCTGGAAAGCCTTCCATTGACGATAATCCCAGTCGTTCCAAATTAACTGCAATGCAATGCTATGCAATGCTTCAGAACTCGTCGATTGGGAAAGAAGGATGGCTCCACGACGTGTGTGTTGGGATGTGTGATGTGCAACCCCAAGCATCAGCCCAAATCCGCAGGGGCTGAACTTTGTCTTGATTAGTCGCATCGGGAGTTGGACAGCAGCATCTGTCTCTTGCACGGGATGGAGGGATGTGTGGCAAGCCGTCAGTTCAACTTGACTTGACGGCAGCTCTCTTCCCCGCGTGCTGGCCGTTGCATGCACACTCAGCACTGCAAGTAAGTTACGAAATCCTGTCAGCCCGTGTGTGTAGACCTTGGATTGGATGCTTCGAAAGGACAGTACAGTAGCGTCGTCTCAAGCAGAAGCCGCTCCAGAGCGACTTGGTCGAGTGCTACCCCAGACAGAATGCCGTCGGGGGTGAATCACCGGATGATCATCTCCCAGCTGGTGCTTACGAAACATGACGAACGCATGTCATGACGTATCAGCCAACGTCGGGGAAAACCTACAAAACGTGCTCAGGTGCCCTCTGTACCTGGGCTGCCTGGCCTGCTGCCGGTACGAGAAAACATGTGTTTTGGGGTGGTGCATTGCTACCCATCAGCAGGATGCACAGTCTCGTCTACGTAACACTACCTCGAGGCTTCGACGAGATGGTAGAAACAGTCCATATTCACACTCTGTAGCCATATCCGTCGCCGTGGCTTGGTAGGTTCTCGTCATCATCAGCAGCTCGGCCGAGGAGGCTCACAATCAATTCCTCCACCACACCCTCACCCGTCGATCAGAGGACTCTCTTAGCGCCCGAAACACCTGAGATGCATCGCTCGTTGGCTGTCTTGATGTGGCGTCGGCTTGGAATCCTTCAGCGCGTTTATTCCCCCAGAAGTTCAACCAAGGATGTTCTAGCAAGTGGCTCTCTCTCGCCCAAGGGAAACCTTGGGGGTTTCTGCCGCGCCTCGAGGAGAGCAAACACGCTGATGTCAATGGGTCGAGACCGGTCCATTTGCGCTGGCCCGGCATAGACTCTGCTGGCCGTGATGGGGCAGATGCGGCAGCCCGTCTGCGAGCTTATTCCAAGCAAAGCAACAACAAAGCCGTAAAGCCGTGAGCTGTCATCGAGGTTGTGATGGGAAACGAGAATCAGCTTGTCCCCACGGTGGCAGGCAGACATGATGATGGCTTGAAGCCAAGCAGGCAGGCACCCGTTTAAATTCGAAGCCAGGTATCCTTCTTTTTTCTTTTTCTCTCATCCCCTTGAAAGGGTGTCAATCGCTAATCGGCCGTTACGCCGTGTCGGCGGAAACGAGTCTCAGCCCGGTGTCCTCGGGGGTGTCGAGTTCCGGGGCCGATAATCAATGCATTTCAACCCTGAAAAAAATAGACGGCACATCATGGGAACTGCTTTGATCTCCTATCGTCTGCCTTGGCCTTGGCAGATGGGATGACTATCAAAACCATAGTTAAATAAAGCAACTCTCAATGCGTAATCACACAAGATTGAATTTCACTTCTAAGCCGTAAATTCCAACAGACAACTTCTAATTACAAACTCGCCTCGATCTGTAAGCAGCGTTCATGATTGTTAGGTAGGTTGTTTTTTTCCGCTTCCGGCTCAGGGGTACGTACCCACCGGAGTCCTTGCTCCTCCCCGTTTCCGTCCCCGTCACAAGCTGGAAGGGAAAACAGGAAGGAGGTGGCCACGCGAGCCTGGACGACGCCATTGGATGACAACATGTGCCAGCTCCCAAACCCGCAACTGGTGAACAACCTACCAACACTCAGACCATCACTGTCCCGTCGTCATTTCAGGAGCTTCACTTCGGTTGGTGATAGCGACAACGCGTCTACTGGCTGCTGTTGCTTCCTTCTTCCTCTTCTTCACCTTTAAATCTTATCATCCTTTACCTTTCTCTACTCCTCTTTTTGGCTTACTCCTTTTTAAAATCCCCTTGTAGTCCTGCTCATAACCTCTTCCATCCTCCCGTGCTCGTCCCTGGAATCAAAATAATCCGCCCCTTTTCATCCTGCGAGAGCGCGCGCTGCCACCATCGGACAACGGAACGATTTGCTCGCCGCCATCTAATCCACGTTTCTACCTTGATCGATAAGGAATGGCCCTGCAAAACCCTTAAATCAACCTCGAATCCTCTCCTCCTTCTCCCGGTTGGCTCCCGCGACCTTCGCAACCATGCCTCGATCCCGTCCCGCGACAACGGGCTACGAACGCCTCGCCCAGGCCGACGACCTCAGCTCCGACTCCGAGGATGATCCCCTCTCCCAATCCTACGCTTCGCTGCAGCCAGCCGCCGCGCCCCGATATGCCCCCGTCACCCAGCCGCGCCATCGTTCTGGCATGGCCAGCCCCAAGTCCTTCGTCTCAGCATCAAGGCCCAAGTTCCGTCACCGTGCCGGTAGCAGCTCCGGTGTCGACCTCAAGGCCATCAATGCGCGCCTCGAGCGCTGGGCCGACGAAATCGCCTCCCGTTTCAAGCGCAAGGGCAGGAATCAACCTGGCGAAGAGGAACGTCTCGAGATCCATTACTCAGTCTTCCAGCCTCCAGAAGGCGTTCGCCCTGTTACTGCTGAGAGCATGGCCGAGTTTCAAGAAGGGTTTATGACAAAGGCTGAATTCGAGACTATCGTCGAGAGTGTCCGAAGTGCCATTCGGCAAGAGATTCACCCGAGTATGATCTCACAGGGCAGCTCGGGCAGCTACTTTGCGCGGAACCCAGACGGCAAGATTGTAGGCGTGTTCAAGCCCAAAGATGAGGAACCCTATGCGGCAGGAAACCCCAAATGGAACAAGTGGATTCATCGGAACCTGTTCCCTTGCTGCTTTGGACGAGCTTGGTATGTATCATTCGCCTCTTCCTTTGAACCTTTGCTAACTCCTTTCCAGTCTTATCCCCAACTTGTCCTATGTCAGTGAAGCCGCCGCGTACGTCCTCGATTGCCAGTTGAGAACACATCTGGTCCCATATACCGATGTTGTTTGGCTATCCTCCAAATCCTTTCACTACCCGTTCTGGGATCGACGAAAGTTCAATCGAAAGAAGAGGCCTCTTCCTGCCAAGCCCGGCAGCTTCCAGGTCTTCCTCAAGGGCTTCAAAGACGCAAATGTGTTCCTGCGTGAACATCCCTGGCCGGATCAGTATTGGTCAGGGTTCCGGACAAATGATGGGCATGGCAAGAAGAGGAGGAGGTGGACTGAGAGCTGTCGTCCCTCAGGGAATGCTTCGCCGGATGATGCGTACGCCAGCGATGACGACCAGGCCCAGGATGATCACCTCTTGGGTCCTGAGAACTTCATCTGGACGGAAAACCTCAAAGAATCCTTGCGCGAGGAACTCGAAAAATTGGTCATCCTCGACTACATCATGCGAAACACTGATCGTGGCCTCGATAATTGGATGATCAAGGTCGACTGGGAAACCGGTAAGGCCTCTATAGCCTCAGATCCAATTCACTTGAACATGGAGCCGGTCGCTGAGGAAGAGGGCCCTCGTCCTGTTGATCTCTCACAGCAGGCCCCTCGTGCCACGAGAGCATCATACCCTTACAAGACTCAGAAACCGATGAGTGCCTCCGGCCGGCAATACGCAGGGAATGAGCCCGCCATCACCATCGGAGCTATCGATAACTCGCTTTCGTGGCCTTGGAAGCACCCGGATGCTTGGAGAAGGTAAGAACAGATTCTGAGGCTAGTTCCTCGTTTTCATGACATATGCTAACCTCAATGTTAGTTTCCCTTTTGGCTGGCTCTTCTTACCTGTCGACCTCATCGGTAGACCCTTTTCGCAAAAGACGCGGGATCACTTTTTACCTCTACTCACATCCACCACGTGGTGGAGTCAAACGACTCTTGCCCTGAAGAGGGTATTCCAGATGGATGTTGATTTCCAGGAGCGCATGTTTGCCAAGCAGATTGCCGTCATGAAAGGCCAGGCGTGGAATGTCGTTGAGACGCTAAAGACGCCTGACCATGGCCCTCTCGAACTCACTCGCCGAGCGCGAGTCTGCGTCTGGGACGACCTGGTTGACGTCCCCGTTGCGGTTCCAATGCGTGCTACATCGTCTGAAGTCCGCCGCAACCCCCACGTCCGCCAGTCTATGGACGAGGCCGACATCGCGAGCTCGGCTCCAGCCAACAACCCTCCCATTGAGGATCTCCTCGGACTCGCCAGTGCCCCAGCAGATATGCCTCATCCCGGCCGGTTCGAGCTTGCTTCTCCAACAGGCGAGACAGCCCAATCACCTGATGAGGTCCCTTCGAGCGATTCCAACTTCCTGGAACCTGCGGGGCAACAGCAGCGTGGCAGGGAGCTGAACGAGCGTCCCACCATCCAGGCAGGCGGGTTTAGAAACAGTTACCAAGGGCCTGCACGGGCGCTCAATATGTACGAACCAGCACGTCAGCAGACGTCGCGGCAGCAGCGGAGGTACTCGTTCGCCAATACCGCTGCACGGCGCAACAGCAACGCCATTGCGCAGCAGTACTATGGAGACATCCACGAGACCTATACTGACGACCTGGAAGGCGACCTCGGCTATGCCGCGGCCGAGGGTCAGATGGGCAACCAACGCAAGGTCATCGTGGAGCGCCTCGAGGCCGTCAAGAGCAGGAACCCCGTCTTTACGTGTTGGTGAGCGCGTCCAACCGAACCGACTGATTATCCAGTTCAACTGAGCCTCGGTGGTGTTGGCTCACGTTCCAGCGCGACTGCGACTGTTGGTGGCTGCAACGGGGCTTGGGCGCGTGAAAGCGTGAGCTCGACTCTAGCCACAGCCGCCACGTTGTAACCATCCCAACGCGCACCGTCGTATGAGATCACGACCCATGTCTTTAGAGCACCTTAATTTTGGGCCTCCAGGGGTTCGTTCCGTTGCTTGCCAGCCTGAAGGCTTCGCCGACATGCTGTTTGCGTGTCTTGCTTATTCGAGCTTATCATGCATGAGAGCGGCTGATGAAGGTGTCTCAAACTCTCAAAACCGACCTATCATCTGGGGGGCCTCATCCATTTGATGAACCCCCTCCCCTTTCCCTCCGCCTTGCCCAGGAAAAGAAGACGCAGTACAGTACCGTTCCGTATAGTTCGAGCTGCAGAGGAAAGGGGAAAGAGGACCTACCAGGAAATGAAAAGAAATTCAAGTTGACCTGCATACATCACACAGGTAGCAGTAGATTGGGGACAAGACAGCGAAGCGATGGTGGGCGCAGAGTGAGCGGGGTCGGGAGCTGACCTGTCATGTTGTACAGTATTTCCAATGGGCGTCTTGCGGTCCTTTTTTTCTTGTTTGCTCCGGTCTTGTTTGATCGTGTCTTGGGTCTGGTGCGAAGGCAATTTTAAACGCGTCATGACGGTTGAGGTGCATCCATGGGAAGAAAAAAGGATCCTCTGACAAAGAAAGACATGTAGCCAAAATAGAACAGCTTCAAGCGTGTCAGCGTCTTCTGGATGATATCCTCTTTCGGTTCGGGTCCGACTGTCGACCCCTTTAGCTCGGTTACATCCAAATGAAAATGCTGCTGTAGCAGTGCAGCTCTGCTTTGCTTGCTCAGTGGGTAGATGGATGGATTCCAGAGGAAGCATGCCGCACGTGGGACGTAGAGGTCGGTCCCAGAGGGTCGGACAGAGGGTGCCCAAGGGCTGAACAGTCAAGTCAAGTCAATGGATGGCTGGCCTACTGCGCCTGCGCCTGCGAAGCGAGCTGTTGGCCGTGTCCGTGTCCTGGCTGGCCCTCGTTTCCCGCTCCTCCCGTCATCCCGCGTGTCCAGCGTCCAGCATAGCCCACCGGTTTCCCGACTCTCTGGTCAAAAACCCGAGAGTCTGGGTCGGCAAGCCGTGGCTCGAGCATGGTTCCCCTGTCTCTTGTGGCACCAGCGATAGGTAGCGCACGAGCACCTTGGACCAACCCCCTCGGGGAGGCAGACGGAAAGGCACACCGAGCAGTTATCCCTTTTCAAGCAAAGTAGGATCCATGTCTCGCGGAAAAGGCGTCGCCTCGTCGTCTTTTGCGAATTTCCCATGGGAGACCGCGGCTAACACATCGGCATTGCAAGGATGGCCTCTCTAACTAAACCGCTGGCATTAGCCTCCGTGCAGCCCTTCCTTAGCAGGTGGTCAGGGAGGTCGCAATCGGTCGACGATCCTCCTCTGGCGTGCAGCCCTGCCTGGAATTCTTGGAATTCGGTGCTTCCTGTCCCCCACAAGACTCCATGCTGGCGGGCCGCAGCGGCCGTACAAGATTGGGTGTGGGTACCGGAGTGATGGGACGCCTCTGGGCGTGATAACGTCCGCAACGTTGCGGGAGTCCGCCGTGCCATCTAATGCAATATTATCTCGTAATCGTTTGCTGATCGCATGCGAGTCTTGTTTCGCTCTAGCTGCCCGCGCTGGTGTGATCATGGATGGCCCAGCGCCGTGGTTGTTTCGTCTTGTCTTGCCTCGCTGCTGTCGAGTTGTATCCAAGACTCACTCTTCCACGTCTTCTCTCCCATCCTGGGACTCGCGGGCCTTTTGTCCTCGGCAGATACGCACAGTCCGTGGCAAGGCACTGCCTGACCTGGCCCCGTCATGCCTCGGTCCTTCTCTGCCGTGGGCAGCTCCAGCAGGCCGGTCATGCCCAGATGAGGTTGAGCTTGTCGGGAACCCCCTGTGTGGGGATGCGGGAGTAGGGGTAAGGAATGGCCTTCCAAGGGAACCCACCAGTACCGCTAACCCTCGACTGCACCAGACTCCCGGTTCCAGAGTTGCCTTTCTAGGGTCCTTGAAACAGTGTCAGAGCGGTTAGAGGCATGGCCGCGAACTCGGAGAGGAGCTCTGGCTTGCCCATGTCCCACCACCTCTGCCGTCCTGCGACCTGCAGCGGCCCGTCGACAAGCACAAGCAGCTAGAGCGGCGCGAGTCCGTCTTGTTTGTTCCATCGACGGATGCCTTTGTACAGTTTCCAAGCCGCTGATGTCGGTCAGGGAATCGACACGTCGTATGATGTTGGCCACAACTAAGGGCGAGCCGATGGGGGGCACAAAAAGAACCTGCACACCAGCCGCGAGAGCCCGCAGCCCGATGCAACTTAGCGGCCCATTGCCAACGCCAATGTGGCCATGAGGCCTCCTTCCTCTTCCCTTCCTACCACTAGAATTCTCCTGTCTCCAGATGGTGCATATTGACCTGCCTGCTGGTTGAGGGCCCGTAGTCGGCCTAGCTGTGGACACAGGAGGCGGTGAAGAGATGAAGCTTCGTGCTCGTGGTCCTGGAATTTCCCTTGCTTGACTTTGAGAGGCCCCCAAGACTCCCAAGGTGGATCGGTCACGGTGCCCCTGAGGCCAGGCGATGGCCTCCCTCCATCATCGTGCCTCGTTTCTGGACAGCCGTCCGCCTGTCGCTTCCACCGCGGTCCCTCGCATCCTGAGATTGCCTCTGGAGGAAACCATGGGGTAAGTAAGCAGGGCTATCCCCGTGCCCGTGCTTGATCCATGCTGGTTAAACCGCTTTCCAGTTTAGCCAGTATAGCCAGTCACCCAGTATAGCAAAGCTCCAAAGATGGCGGCGCGGCGGATTCAGCCTGTCTTTGTTCTGAGGTCCCAAGTCCATGTCCTCGGTATTGACATGGTCTGTCATTGGACTATGCCCCGAAGTGGTCACTCAAGTGACCAGGAGATCTTCCCTCACCCGCTGCGGAACGTCATAACACAAGGCGTGAACCACACCTCCCTCGTAAAGTGCCATCTTTGGGGGGCGAGGTCTGGTAGCACACACAGCCGCTGGCGTGGGGGAGAGACAGCCTCGCCCTCGACGTGAAACAGTTCGCATCCATCCCTCTCTATGGTTAGCTCGTAGCTCCAAGCCATCCGCAGGTTCCGCAGGACTCCCGAAAAACAGATGTATGGATCTGAGATGGTGGGAGGGCTTCTGCCCAGGAATGGGCACATTGGGTGGCTCCAATGGAGCTTGAAGGGAATGAGACCCTGGAAATGCTGCATCTGTTTTCGACCGCAATCATGTCTGAACATGCGGCACACCAACCCCTCCACTAAGAGTGGAACCAGTGTCGTCGTCCAAGGATGGAGCCATAGAGAGGTCAACGATGAGGCAATCCCAGAAGTATCCTGGCCAGTTTCGTCCATTTTCATCTCATCCCGGCTCCTTCGCACCAGGAGATCGATCATACCTGATTAGAGTGTTGTTGCCTATTGCTCTTCGAGGTCGGTTGGGCATCGGATCAAGCCTGTTGGCCCATCCTCACAACAGTTCAAGGGACATCAACTTTGACCCCAGCTAGCAAGCAGTCTTGCGCTTGATTCTGATTCCCAGCCCCAACTTATTGGCTTCGAGTCATTGCACATATAGAATAGCCCACAGCCGTAGGTCTGCGGGTAATCCCTGATGCTGAGGTGGACTCAAGCAATAGAGCTCTCAGAGGTCAAGATCGGCAGTAGAACCTTGGGAAACAACACTTTCTCGACCAATCTGCTTGGCTGTTGGCCAAGTCATCTCCGCATTGTCCCAGAAAGCCTCGCGGTGCCCGTAAGTGCTACGAAAGGCCGTTGTATGCAAGAGCCTCCATAAGCCCCGATATGTCTTTGGAGACTGCATCCCGGCACCAGGGTGGCTCTTGACGTGTGGACTCGGGCCACGCTCAGGGTACCACATGATTTCCTAACACTTGATAGTGGCCCAAATTCCCCTTAGAAGGAAGGGAAATCGACTTACCTTTATCGTCTCTCGCAGACAAACACCAAATCCACTCGTGAACTTTCCAAAGGCGACGCAGTTTGGAAAACAATCCTGAACCATGGAAGCCGAGTAAGACAACCAAGATCTCTGGGTGTGAAGAACTCGCTAAGCCCCTCCCCCCCTTTCAAAAGAGACGGAACCGTGCCCCTTGACGAGACGTTTACCGAGACCATTGAGCACTATGGCCGCAGTTATCAACATTACGCCCTGACAAATGGAGTCTATTTTGCACCGATCGACGAGGTAGGGCAACTTCCGGTAGTCAAGACAACTAAATCGTTAACAGAGCATGTCACACCGGTTTAGGACGAAATTTCACGCCTCGAGCTGATGCACGGCGTGCTCAACAGACTCTTCGACAGCCGTCTAATATTCCCGCCCATCAGATCTCCGAGAAGGATTCTTGACTGCGGTTGTGGCCCTGGGGACTGGGCTATGGAGGTTGCTTCGCAGTATCCTGATGCTGAGGTAAGTCGTTTTCCCCAGTCCGACGCTCCTTGCTTCTCGTTACACGCGGTCCCTGCGAGGCGTCCTGATCGAAGAGGACTTGGCACACCACTCTGGGTACGACGCAGCGAGATCGACCGTTTGGCTCAACACCCAGCCCCCGTAACACTTGTCTAAGAAGATCCGAGCAGAGCTCTGTCCGAGAGGGACTGACAACCAGGGGCTGGGGCTGCTGGGTCGCCGATGCCGAAGGAGTCGTTCTGTTCCTTACGACCATGTTGAGAGATGGCAATAAGCGACTGATCGTAATCGACAGGTCCTCGGAATCGACATAAGCCCGCATGTGATCCCTGAGAATCCACCCGACAACATGGAGCTCCAGGTTGATGACCTCAACGGAAGGTAGGTTGTCCAAGAACGAACAAAGAGCAAAGCGCTAAGTCATGTCCCGGCATAGGTTCACATTCCAATCCAACCACTTTGATGTTGTCCATAGTCAGATGGTGGCAGGTGGGATACACGCGAATCGATGGCGAAGCTATATTCGAGACATATTTCGGGTACTGAGGCCGGGCGGCTGGTGTCAGATGGTCGAGATATACTTCAACGCGCAGTCGGACAACGGGACATTAACTCGAGGCAAGCCTTCCAATCTTCAACCAAGGGGTTGTCGACCATTAATAACCATTGCATCCAGACCACGCTCTATCACGGTGGTCGAGGCGGTATCTGCAGAGCCAACAGCCGTACAAAGACCCTCGGGCACCATTGCAGATGGCAACCTGGATGAGGAGTGCGGGGTTTACCGAAGTCGAATCAAGGTTGTTGACCTTGCCGATGTGTGCTTGGTCGAATGGTAGGACGCAGGTGATAACTTTGTTGTCGAGATGATGCTGATCATGGCACTGCAGATGCTCGAGAGTATGAGATCGGGTGGTCGAACAACGAAAACGTCAATCAGCTCCTATACTCGCTGGCACTTTACCCCTTCACACAGTTCCTAGGGTGCGTTGGTATCAGTTGAACTCCGAGGTACCGTTTGTTTGCTAAGCTCTCGGCAGGATGTCGTTTAACGATTTTCAGCTCCTTGTTGCCCAAGCAAGGAGCGAGGCCGGCAACCCGGCATTCAAGGTGAACAACCCCTGATTTTTCAAACCTGAAACTTGAACGAAAGTCAGAGGTCTAACATGGTAGACGTGACTGCGGCTGGTAGGCTTACTTCCCCATGTAAGTCGGATGTGTCTTGGCTGTTCGATTGAAGTGCGATGCTGACCATTGGGCACCAGATATGTATGCATTGGGAGGAAACCACGTCGAGGATAGGCGATACGAAGCCCAACAAAAGCGTCTGAAGGCCGTGGGGCGACAGCGGTGCGCAGGGGAGTGCATGCAAGCGCCAGGAAAGGGACAGGCGACTTTCATTGACTGGAGGGGATGGATTGAAATATATGACGATGGCCAGGAGAAGGGACGAGAGGTTGTAAATGCGTCTCGATGCGCCTTGACGGGTCGTTGAAAGAAGGTTTGTATGGCTGGGGAGGCAGGCGGATGTGGCGCGCCGTCAAACGGATACCTAGTGCAGGAAGGCACGATGAGAACACACCAAGTCAGAGGAGGCAACCCAACCTAGGAGGGAGGAAGGCCCAACCTCCAGTCTGAGGTGGCATGCAAGTAAAGGAAAGAACCTAGTCACGGGAGAAGGGGAACAGGTTCCTTAGGTTGCTGCAGGTGCTCGGACTTAAAGATCCAGGTAAACAAGAAGCTCCATATACGGCTCTACAAAGTGGCTGCTCATCCCTTCTTATTGCTTCCAGGGAGTGACTCGCAACGGCTGGCCCCATGGAGGCTCGGTACCGGCTGGCTGGGACCCGGTGAGGGAACAGCTGGAGACTTGGCCTGCCCGCTGCGACTCGAGCGACCACACCTATCCAGGGAAGTGCCCGTCCCCGTCCCCGTGTCCACCACGGATGGAGATCAAGCCGCAGAGGGACGACTCATGAATGGACCAAGAGCGTGGGAGCAAGATGGGCAAGCAAGGTAGCCAGCGATCCATGGCCGGGCCGTTCCCCTTCTTATCCACCACACGCACGAGAACCCACCTCTCCCGAACGGAACGGGCACGATAGGTGATCACGATCTCGTCTCTTTTTTTACAATCCCTGGCCGGCCAGGTATTCCACGAGGGATCTATCGATGTGTTCATCTCCTCATCTCCACCTACGTTGCCTGGTAAGGGTAAGGGACTGGGTTTCCGAGGAGATCATCCATGGCAGTCAACTACCGGGCTCAGGCCAAGGCCTCGATGCCCAATAGTGCTATTCTAGCGAGCCCAGAGGCGGTGGAACCTGTCAGTACCTTCAGGGCCGTTGACAAGTGCAGCTGTCACCGAGTCCAGCTGCGTCATCTGTCGCTGATGCCCTCGAGCCTCCCCTTGATCTGTCCCCCTCTGGTGAAGCTAGCGCGGAACCCTAGTGGGATGCAATATCAACGGAATCATCCCCGACCCTTGTCAACGCATGGGAGGCTGGGTGCACCAAAGATCAGGTGATTTAGCGTGCTGGAAGGTCTTGTCAGTCTACATCAACAACGGCAAGGACGGATGTTTGTTGGACATTTTCTCCTGGGAACCCGAAACGGCTATGACGAAGACGCGGGATATGCGGAGGACAAAGCACACCAGCATCCAGGCTCGCGGAATGAGCCAATGAACCATACAACACCCCCGGTATCCATTGATTATCTCGAAAATTTCCGAAACCGTCTCCCCCGTAATCGCCCAGTAGCCCAGCCCAGTGCACTGGCTTGGGCCGCCCACGCCGCCCTACAGGCCGTTGCACACCGCTAGGGCCCGGCAGACAAATCACAGCCGCCAATTGACGCCGCAGATGCACAAGGGAAATTTTGAGCTCCTAACTCACCCAGCTTGAGCTTTCATCACTTCAAGATTCGATCGTCACGGTGCATACAATCTCATCCCATCGCCAACCGCGCTTCTTAGACCCGAATTGGCTTCCTCGACTCAACACCTCCATCCTTCATCTGCGCCATCATCGATCACAATGTCCTGCAAGCCCTCCATGCACCTCCTCCGAGCGCTACGGGCGTTTCAGCCTTGCTCGGCCTACCGACAACCCGCCAACCGACTCTCATCTGCTTCCCTCTGCCGCTTCTACTCGACACCCGCTGGCGATGCCCCTCCTCCGCTACTGTCCAAGCTCAAGTCTGAACTCAAGACGGCTATGCGCGCCAAGGATGCCCCCCGCCTAGCCGTTCTTCGGGCAATCATGTCGGCCAACCTCAACGCCTCCAAGACATCGACCCCCATCAAGACGGATGTGCAGCTCGTGGCTTTGATCCGCAAGATCCAGAAGGGTGCCTTTGACGCCGTTGCCGAGGCTAAGGCTGCCGGCCGCGAAGACCTGGTCCAGAAGGAGGAGGAGCAGATCAAGGTTCTGGACGAGTACATCTCCAACAGTGGCGTGCAGACTCTGGGTGAGGCCGAGCTCAAGGCCCTGGTTCAGGATGCCGTCGAGGCTTCCAAGGCTGCTGGTATTCAGGCCAAGGCTATTATGGGCGACGTCATGAAGCGACTATCCGGTGCTCTCGAGGGTAAGGATGTTGACCGAAAGGAGCTGGCCAAGCTGGTCAAGGAGCTGACAAGCTAAGTCAGCTAAGTCAGATATCCAAGGATGGTGTAAGATATGTACATTATTGCGCCAAAGTGGCGTTGGAGCTGCTGTTGAACCCTCTCCATATCCCAATCATCTGTACGAATTTACGCTGTTGTACGATCACATCTTGCTCCTACATAGAGCGCGATTTAAAGCTATTCGGAGCCAACTTAAAGAATATGTAAAAGTCACAAAACTTAAAGGCATAAAGTCTCTTTCTATGTGGTGAGTAACTTGACGGTAAGAATACCTCGACGATTGTTTAAGGTCATGAGGCCAACCGCATTTGTTACCTGTGCCATTCACTCATCCAGTGCAACTTGCTTCATTATCGTTTTACTACCTTGAGAAACATTTATTCCCTGAGTCCCGACTTGTGAGGAGCAGGTCGAGCCAACTCCGGGGTACTATCATGGCCGAGTGACCCCACCTTGACAGCGCCGACGGAGCCATGAGTAGATAGGCATAGTACAAGTGACTCACAATAGTAGAACAACATGTCCAGCACGCCCTTTGATATTTATTGATATTTAATCCTCTCGAGCTTGGTCTCATCTTCTTCCTCGTCTTATTTCTGTCTCACATCTAATTATTCTTCTCTTCGCAAGCAAAAACAAGCAATCATGGTATCTCGTCAAAACATCAGCTCCGGCTCTGCCTTTGAAGCGCAGATTGGCTATTCACGAGCCGTCGTCACAGAAGATTGGGTATTCGTGAGCGGTACAACTGGGTAAGTTTTCCCTCTGTGACTCTACAACTCATCACATTGGGGCTAACATGTGTCATAGCTACAACTACAGCACCGGCGACATCTCCCCCGACGTGGCCGAGCAAGCGGACCAGACCCTGGCCAACATCGCCGCGGCTCTCAAGGACGCAGGCGCATCTGTTGAAGACGTCGTCCGCGTTCGATATATTCTTCCCGACCGTGATGACTTCCCAAAGACTTGGCCGGTGTTGCAGAAGTGGTTCGGCCATGTCCGTCCTGCGGCGACTATGGTGCAGTCCGCACTGATGAAAGAGGAGATGAAGATTGAGATTGAAGTCACTGCCAGGAAGGGGTGCGGAAACTCGACTGACCAGGGACCGGTGGCTTAATACATGAAACTCCGAGTGATTAGATCAAGTTGATTACAACTGTCTACCGTTTGTTCTATTCTACAGCATTCTCAGCTTCGTCCAAATCCAAGCGACACCAAGAACTATCCTTATCTATCCAGTTATATATATACCAAATAAACACAGTTTTAGATCCCCAAGTACAAGTAGAATGCGAGCATCCATCTAGTGAACCAAGGGCGCAATCAAGCCTCCAGTAGCAAAAGCAGTACCGATGGTAACAAGGCTCGACGTCGACAAGAGTGACAGACCACTGATTCCATGTCCAGAGGTGCAACCTCCAGCCAGTCTTGAGCCAACAACCATCACGAAGCCGCCAGCAGCAGCCAATCGTGGCTCAGTCTCGACGATGGACGCTGCGAGAAGCTCAGGGAAGTTCTTTGAGATTGCCCAGGCGCCCGCCGCCACGCCAGTCGCGAATAGCATGTTCTGGCGGCTGCTGGGCCATGAGGCACGGTCGGCACCCTTGACGAGCCACCAGAAGTGGTTTCCCACTTCCTCGTAGGAGCCAGAGACACCGAGCATAGAACGGCGGACAAGGATAGAGAAGAGCTGGGCGAAACCGATAAAGAGACCGCTACCGGCGGAGAAGAGGGTCCAATCCGAGCCAGTGGTGTAGACAACCGAAGCAGCGATGGCAGAAAGACAGAGAGTCTCGAAGAGAATGATAGTAGTGGCCCTGGAGACGCCGAGCTTTTCGTTGAGGGTGACAGTCTCGGGCTTCACTCCCGTCCTCTCCTTTTGCGCCTTGATAGCCTTTGAGAGGAATCCCGTCCACACGATACCGCCAAGCACCGCTCCGCCCAGAGCGTAGAATCCAGTCTGAAGTCCAGCTCCGACTTGAGCGAGCACAGTTCCAGGACATGAACCCGAGAGAGCCATGCCGGCGCCGAGAAGAAAGCCGCCGAGGACGTTGCCATCATATTGGCCAAAGAGGCCGATGGGTGAGGAGCTACGAGGCTTGAGATTTACGTAGCCAGAGCCTTCTATAGCTTTGTAAACAACGCTATATATCTAGGTCAGAAAACACAAGATATGTTGGAGGGAAAAGACACTCACGCGCTGGTCGCTGCCGCGCCGAGAAAGGTCTGCAGCATGTGCCATTCTTCAAACTTGAACTGGTTGATGATGACGGATGGGGAGTAGACACCGGCAACCACAGTAGCAGCGCCAAAAACAGCGCCCGAGATGAGCGAAGCCATGATGAAAAATATTCGAGTCTTTGGAGTGGAATATGCAGTTGGTGGATCACCAGTGAAGATGGTGTTGAAGTGTATGCCGGTCTTCGGAGTGTCGGCAGCGGGAACCTTAAGTAGGGCAACTTTGAAATAGGGGAAACAACTGCTCTAGTAGCAATGCTCACAAATCAAGCTTTCATAAGAAAAAGGGCGAAATTTCATATCCAAGATTCAAGTCGCCGAAGTAAAAAGGCCAAGAGCCTGATGTTAAGAAATTGATCCGGGTTCCCGCTGTGGCCGACGTCCCGATTGCTAAGTCGGTAGCGTCAGAATTGGGGAAAGTGATGCCATCCGGGGACGGACCCATTGAATGCGGGTTCACAGCAAGATACATATTCTCGTCGCCAGATGTATACTGTGCAACTATATTCTTGTAGTTTGATGTGTAAGTCGACGGGGAGTTACATGCGGTGGAATAAACAAATACAGTAGTGAATTGGTCTCATTAAGGTGCTGACAGTCTCAGCCACCGAGTTCGGGGAATAGACTTGGCTCGGGGACCTGAAAGTGACAGCTCGGGGACCACACCAGCGGCGACAATTGATTACAAACAACTTGACTCTCAAGCACTGGCCTTTTATTTCCGATCGGGCCAAATATTCCTCAATTTTTTTTCCTTCTATTGAGATCAACATTTACTGGTGGAATATATCCCATCTACCTTTGGCCCTTGAAGGCCGGCATCTCTTACAGGGTAGCCACCTTTTTCACACAAGTTTGTGTGAGCAAGTCACCATAAGGATCCCACCGAAGGATGGGTAGCTGAAAATATATTATAAAAATGGGTAGGATAATAAGTAATATCAGCCTTAAAGTATTACCTCTTATTGGGATATCTCTCTACTTTTTTTTAATTGTTATTTTTACATACATGATCATCACAAAGCCGAGATCTTTGACAGTGGCTGCGTAGGGCCATACCTAGTTTGCGCCTTTTAGTTTTCATTTGCTCTTTGACCTATGCGTAGGACATACACACTATGGAGAAGACAATAAGGTGAGCAGCAAGTATCTGATTCATTGCTAGCATATTCTCATAAGCCTTTTGTTTTGCTTTGTTATTGTACATGACTGATCCAGCCAATCTTCCTCAGGTCAAGATCTCGTCATCTCAAAAGAATCATTTAACCCCCAAATGTACATGATGAAGTGAATCAAATTTCCAACACACAGAAGTTTAAACACGCGTTCCTCTCCAAGATACCTGCTACGGCATCTTTACTCTCCACAGATGCCAAAGGCGTTCTGACAGCCACAATCGCAGTGTCGGCTCTTGCGACCACAGCGGCCCTTCTTGGAGCAGCAGTTGCCGAATGAGCTGCCTTCACAGGTCTGGCCTGTCTCGCCACCGCAGCGACCGTCCTTGGAGACCTTGAGTCCAGAGCCTCCCTCCTCGACTGGGACGCTCGAGGTCTCCTTGGGCTTGCTGACGGAGGTGCTAGTAGGCGCAGTGATATACCCGGTAGGGGTCTCCTCATAGGCCGGAAAAGCATCCTCGTTGTACTCGACGGTCTCAGGCTCAGCCTTGGGGGCACTGACCTTGGGAGCGCTGGCCGTGGTCTTGGCGGGAGCCGCAGCCTTGGTGGTAGAGGGCTTCTCGACAACAACGACGCTGCTTGTAGTGTCCTTGCCATCCTTGTTCGCCTCGGTGCCGTCGTAGGGTGCGGGAATGGGGCCAGGCTTAGCAAACACCTCCTTTCCAGTGAACTTGGGAGGGCCCTCAAAGTTCTCGTTCTCGCACTGGTTGTTCATCTCTGTGCAGTAATCGCTCCAGACCTCACAGTTGGCACCGCCAGAAGGAGCAGCAGTCTTCCAGCAAACATCGGCCTGGTTCCAGCACTCCTTGGAGGCGGCCCAGCACTCGTCTTGGCCAGAGTACTTGGCCATGGGCTTGGCGCACCAGTTGCCATTCTTGACGAGGCAATCACTAGGGATGACGCCGTACTTCTGGGTCTGCTTGGTGCCAGTCTCTTCAGCGGTAGGGACCCAGACATCAGGGCCGGGGATGGGGTACTCGCCGAGAGGCTTCTCGTAGATGTTGTAGGTGAGGCCGGGGGTGTCCTTGTTGACGTATCCAGGGATGCTAACTTCGTTCTTCTTAGGGACCTGAAGAGGAACGTTGGGGCCGTTCTCAATGAAGATCTGGGCACAGCCCTGGTAGAACTGGGGATCACCAGCGGGAGCGTTGTGCAGGGCAAGGACCTCGGGACGGACCAGGTAGTAGCCCGAGGGTAGGCCAGTAGGCAGGTCGACCGAGAGAAGGCCGTTGTTGGCTCGGAGGCGGTCGGTACACCAGGTGCCCTCCTTGACGTCGTAGCCATCCTCCCAGATCTTGAACCATCCAGCACCGGCAGCAGAGTCGGTGAGGATGTTGTCAACCTTCTTAACGTAGACAGAGCAGGGGCCCTTGTGGCCCTCGGCGATGGCTCCGGGTCGGTTGTAGGCGGGAGACTCACGGAAATGGAAGGTGAGTTGAGCACCGCCGGGGGCAGGGCAGATGAACTTGGCAGGCTTGTCACCATCTCGGCCTATAAAAGTCTTTGTCAGTTACTGGATTCACGGTGTTTCCGCTGATACAAGTCCGGTTGGGGAGTGGCAGCTGAACTTACCACAAGCCATGACATCTCCAGTAATGGGATAGATGGGACCATTGGCAGTAGCACCATCCTCGGGCTGACGAACACAAGTTCCGTCACCCTGGTTCTTGCCATCGACGTAGAACGTAGTGAAGAGTGTATGAGCGTTCGCAATAGAAGCGAGGCCCAGAACGGTAGAAAGGAACTTCATGGTGAAGGATTCAAAAGATAATGGAATTCAAGAAAGAATGAAAGAGGTAATGGGCAGAAAGTCCAGTTTCTGCGAAGCCGCTTGGGCAGAAAGTCGTAGTTGTTTTTGCTGTAGGGAGCGTGTATGCCGAGAAAGCGGCAAGAAAAGGAGTGACTGTGAAATCGGAAAGAAGATGAAGAATAGAAAGGGAAGGGAAAAAAAGAAACAACTTCTCAACACCAGATTGAGGAAGAATTGGTGAGTGACGAGAGAAGGGGAAGCCATCATAAAAGTCGGGGGACATGCTGAGTTGATATACCCTCATTTCACAGGCTCACCAACATGGCCAAGACCAGTAGGGCCCAACAAGCTCAGCTCAGTTCAGCTCAGACCATGGACAGGACAGGGTAGACAAACCCACAGATCAGATGTCCACAGACTTCAAAGCAACAACCTACATCCCTGAGCCTTGGGCCTGGATATCGGTGACCGACGGCGAGCACATCGAGTTACACGCGCAAGACCGCCTCTATGGTCGGTCCAAACGCCGCCACCACCTAAAACAGTGGCTTCGCCCCTAGACTAATCCTCCTCTCATTCCCCCAGCAGCACCAGACACGGGAAAGAGTCCAAGATCCTGGACAGTTGCCGGCCGGCTCCTGCAAGCCGCAATCAAACGGAACAGCCGCCGAGGCGGGCTGCGGGCTTGGGCCGTCGATCTGGCGTATCATCTTAGGAAGGAGGGCGAAGAGGAGACGAGCGCTGAGTGCCAAGATGCTCAAGATGAAACGAATATGTAGAGGTGCAAGGTACCCGTGTGTGCGGTGTAATTTCTAGGTACCTGCGTCAAGCAAGCGCTTAGTGGGCGTTATTCCGCTGCGGGCTGCCTGTGGTCTTTGCAGGAGGGAAGGCACGTTCTCCGGAGCATTAATCAGAATAGAGATGGAGAAGAACATGTCTGACTCGGGAAATACATGACATCTCCTCTACTGCAACCTCAATGCCATGGCAAGACATTTCTCGATAATGATTGTTGGTTCCAACATAAACAACCATCAACACAACTCTCCGATACAACCAGAAACAAACACAGACGAAACACCGACAAGGATCATCCATGATCCACAGCACAGAACCTCAAACCCCATCAAACATCCCGCCCGACGCTCCCGGCTAACACCTGCAGGGAACCCCCTCCACCAAGCGCGTCGGCGGCGTTCAGTGGTGCGACCTCTAAACATCCAGCTTGCTCAGTCCTTAACTCAACCTGAGCGGTCCTTTCAATCAATCCTATTCATCCTTTTGCTCATCTCAGGAATCACCTGTTCACCGCACATGACGGTGTATTCCTCTGTACACCTTCGTATCTGCACTACCTTCGTCCTAGAAGCCAACCAAGAGCGTAAACATTCATCCTAACTACTCAGCTCATACTCACCGTAATGCCGTAGCACTCACATAATCGGATAAACAGTTTCAAACCCAGCACCTTATTTCCAGAGGGAGCAATCACATCCCGCTCCATACCAAGACCTGAAGACAAGGATACCGTCGATCCTCCTTCTCCAGTCTAATCTCACCAAGGGGGCCCAAACCTCCATCCTTTCATCCCCCTCAAGGGGCTAGGATTCCGACTAACAAGATGCGGAAGTTATCCCGCTGTCATCCCATCTTGCCTGCGTAAATCGTTCCTTGAAACCTGATCTTCGTGAGACTGCCCATGAACGAATTCTGCCCTCACCTGTTTGCACTAGCATTCCTACTTTTCCCAACAACCTGGCGAGGGAACCTCAATTTATCTGCGGACTACTGTTACAGCAGGGGTGCAACCTAAAGACGAGATCGCAATGGTGCCTCAAGGAGGAATAAGCTTGTTCTCATGCAACGCCTAACATAAGGGTAAAATTACCCGATGGACATGGCAGACACGAGAGAGTATAGCTTATTCGCAGGTACTAATTTGTTTATTCTTACGTTCTGAGTCCTCATGGATAGATCATCCTCATCTTGAGAGCGCAAGAGTGAAAGGCCAAGCTTAGCCTTTGACAGCCCATGGTGATCCTTGTTTAACAACATAGGCTTGGTCACTGGAAGAAATATCAGGCCTCATCATTGACCTATGCAGCATCGTAGAACCACCAAAAAAAAGCATCCCGACCTTCTTTCGGCCCTTGGGTCCTCACCCATCGGCGCTTCGGCAGCCCTCACGCCGACCCGCGGTCAAGATCAACCGAGAGCCAATTGATCCATCCTCTTACCGCTGCTTCTGCGCGGCACCCCGTTCTTTACCTCCATGAGGCTCTGGGCGGCTATGCAAAGTGAAAGACTTTCGTGTTTCTTTTATGTCTCAATTGTTTTACTTTGTTTCCTGTTCCATAAAGTTTCATGCCGTGTGTCCCTTAACGTCATCCAAGGATATCATGAGTTGAAAGGGCAAGAGTGGAGATTTGATTCTGACTCGATGCGCGACCAATATGTATGACCTCTTCTCTCATGTCCATTGCACATATATAGACACAGATATTTTTCTCCTCGCGTACTTGGTCTTCATCATGCGCCTACATTACAGTCAACTCCTCCGTCTTCCCCTTCCATTCAGCTTCCGCAAAAGAGTTCCGTCTCTTGCGTCTGCCGCTTCCCTTATGGTACAATATGGTACATGCTAACTCCAGTTGTATGCTGGGGGTATCTTATTCGTTGATCTTGGCGAGGATCCTAGAGTCATGTTAGTCTGCTGCTATCCCTCAAGCTCCAAGCACGGGCACTCACTCGCTGTCGCGGAAGAGCTGGTACTCCTCCTCACCGGCCTTGACGGGAGAGCCGCCGAATTGGGGGATGAGGACGCGGTCACCGACGGCGACGCCCATGGGTAGTCGGTTACCCTTCTTGTCGAGGGCACCGGGGCCGACGGCGAGGACCTTGGCCTCGTTGAGCTTCTCAACGCTAGACTCGGGGAGGAAGATGCCGCTGGCGGTCTTGGCCTCGGCCTTGATGCGCTGGACGAGGACACGGTCCAGGAGGGGAGCGAGGGCTCGGATGGACTTGATGGAGGTGGCCTGTAGCAGGTTATGTTAGTATTGGTTCGCCCTTCAGACACAGGGCCTCCTCCAATGGCTCCTTCATGCTTCAATCCTTGGTCCTCGACTCTTCAACCGGCTATTCAATTGCCCAGGGCCGTCGTATGCCGATGATTCCAGAATGAAGCACTCCGAGAGCCATCTTGTAAGAGCCCCTCCAGCACAGGCAACGCAATGCACGCACCATTGTGATTATGTGAAAAGGCGGTTAAGCGGTAGAACAGAGGAGAGTCGTAGAGTCGTAAACAAGGATGGAGTAAAGAGGGAGAAGAGTCGGACTTGGGAGTTCAGCGGAGTTCAAATCGGAGTGGACCTCGTCTCTTCCAACAGCTTCCAGAAGAAGGTCAGCAATTTTTTCCCTCCAAGCTTCCCCTCGGCGCTTGATTTCCCCGGTTCCGAGACGAGACCCCGGCAATACGTCTCCGTCTCCGGCAAACAAGACCTTTGCTGTCACCGCACGTGCCTCCATTGCCGAGTTGCCGAGTAAACGGATTGGGGTAGGTTGATTATCATGATGGAATGCAACACAAGGAACCAATCATTGAGACGATATTGTTATTCAACTGCTTCTTCCACATTTACCCAACTAGTTAATGTAATTGAAACCAAGTACCGCTTCCTGTATCCTGTTGCAACTAATACGCCGCACCTTTTGCAATTGCTTATCCAACTTCTATCTGTTGTCAATCATCATGCGCTGTCGAGTAATGCCACTTCCTTCCACATGCAAAATAACACGCTGCCCTGCTGTCCTCCAATTTATACCCACCAGTCGCTCTCAGAAACGCCAAACCCTGTCAACATGTCCGTAAAAGCATGCAATACAATGTTTTGTCTGTTATCCGTCCAGTCATTACTTCTTCTCCGGCTGCTGGTTAGCCGGCGGCTCCAAGATGTGGGTGTGATTATCGGCCGGTACCACCTCGCCGTGGTCGAACTGCTGGCAGATGACCGTGTCGGCAACCCACGGCTCTTGAAGGATCTCGTCCATTCGAGCCCGCTTTTTAGGGTCGAGCTCGAGCATCCTGCTGACGATATGTCGACTTTCTCTCGGGAGTAGTCGCAGAATGCGCCACGGGCCTCGGATCACCTCCTTCTTATCGGCAGGTGCCTTGGAATCACCCGTAGACGCCGATGGTTGCGCACTCGTCTCCTCCTTTCGCTCATGGTGAGACTTTCGCTTCACTTCATCCTCGGCCAAAAAGTCCCGCGCCGGGGTGGTGGTCAAGTCATTCGTTGACTTGGAGGGCACGATCAGCTTCTTCGGATCATGCCCAGGAGTTGGATCCGCCGCAAACAGCTTGAATGAATTATCCGTCATACGTGGCAACTTCCAAGGGAATCGGCGCAGAGTCATGCAGCAGAAGATGATGGCCAATGACCAAATATCCACGGCCACAGCATCGTACTCCTTGGAGTCGTAAACCTCAGGGGCAAGGTAAGGATCAGAGCCAACAATACCTAAAAGTTATTAGCGCCTCGTTTTGATATCAAAGTCCAAACAGAAATCAAACTTACCCTTCGCGGGTACCGTGTCAGTCTCGAAGGGGTACTTGAAGACATGGGCGCTACCAAAGTCGATAATCTTCATGATGCCCTTGCTGCTGACAACCACATTGTCCAGCTTGAGGTCGCGGTGAGCAAGGCCCACGCTGTGCAGATATGTCACGCCATTGAGGATCTGCAGGAAGCAGCACGTTATCTCCTCCCGAGACATCCGACCGGTCATAACGATCGCAAACAGATCGAACGGTGCGTACTCCATGACTTCGTACCACCTGCCCTTTTCCTGCAAGATATCCAACGTCTCGATGATGTTGCCATGGTGGAGAGTCGATCCAACGCAAAACTCGGCCGTGACCTTTTTGTTGTACTCCTTTTCGGTTTCGTATGTGTGCCTTGCGCGGAATTCCTTGACAGCAAACACGGTACCATCGTCCTTGCGCTTCATCAGCCGTACCGAGCCGCCGGCACCAGATCCCAGAAACTTGCCGAGCTTGCCGTATTTGGAAGACAACCCATGATCGTCTCCAAAAGGCAACTGCTGAGTGGACCTGGAAGCCAGGGGCGACTTTCCAAGCTTGATCGACGGCGCTGGGGAAGAATCCCTCTTTTTGTGATGATGGCCTGACTTCCGGAAGAAGCGCTTCAGATCTGCCATAGAGCCATGACCCGGGTGGACGATACCAGTGGCGGCGCTATCGTTGTGTGAAAGGTCCTCGGTGCTGTTCTTGGCACTTCCAAAAATTGACGAAGCACGCTTCTCGTTCACGTTTGACCTAGATCCATGGGGCGAGCTGTGTTTCTTCTTCCTAGAAAAGATAAACCTGGGGTCGATTGAGTTTTTGGTCGCATGTGGCGCGGGTGCGGGCCGGCGGTTCTTTGCATAAGGGTCGTTGGCATCGCCACCAGGGGTGATTGGTTTGGAGTAGAAGTTTGATGCTGAGCTTCGAGAAGGGCTGGATTCTCTGGAAACAGGCACAGACCCGGGACCAACACCAAACATACCCCGACGGTGGGACTTGTGCTGCTCCTCGGCTGACGAAGCTCTACGAACCGCATGATCCGAGGTGGCTCGGTGTGTAGAGGGTCTCCTGTCAGGAGCTGGCGTGGGCTTTTCGTGCGAAGACGATGGCTGAGGGGTGATGATTGGGGGTTCGTTCGCTGCCTGCCCTTCCCTGGGCTTCCGTTCGGTACTAGCTTGGCCGGATCCTGCGGGAGTGAGGGGAGGAGACGCCAATGCAGAAAGTCGTGGGCTGCTGTGTGTGGATTGGAAGTTGGCCGAGGTAGGGGTGGGCAGTCTTGTGGACTGACCCGATTCATCTTCATGAGACGGGACCTGCGATGACATCAATTAGCGTCAGTAGCAAAACCTTGAGCTGGGGTAGGGGAGCTGGGGCTCTGCTGCAAGCTCAAACACTCAACGGCGAAGGGACGCCGGCGGAGCAATCGGTTATCATTTGAGCCAACGCCGCATGCGGAGACTCGGGCAAGCGCAACTTCAAAGCAAAAGAGGGGCTGAAAGCACATACTCTTGACGGTGGAAGAGAGAAGGGCTCGAATTGACAGCTTGTCAGACGAACTTCCTGAAGAGGTCGGCCGTGGAGCGACTTGGTGAAAGCTTTGAGTTGGTCGGCGGTGACCTCTGTGAAGGAGCTCGACGGTGCCTCCTCGTCTGGGCATGATGACGACTTCTCGGGAGCGGCGGGTTCGGTAGGTGAGATCTCCTGGACGGCAGCAGAGAAGCGGACGCCAGGAGCATCTTCGGCCGCCTTTTCCTGGGCGACCGCGGGCTCTTCAGGTTTCTGGGAAGGCTCTGGAGCTTGAGAGAAAGCCATGTCAGCGATTGTGATGTCCAGAGGTTCTGGCGATGAAGATGGGCGCGCAGAGCAGCAGATCAAGGTGGGGCAGCTCAGAGATTCGGCTGAACCGGAAGATATAGACTTACCAGAAAGGTCCTGGGAGCGAGGACGCTCGCCAGGAGGAGTAGGAGATGCCATGGGATGTGAATAGATACTGGCGATGGAGGTTGATCCAAAGGCAGGGGAAGAAAACGAAGGAAGCAAATTTGGGGAGGGTTGAAAGAGGAAGCGAGTCCAGAGCAAAGAGTTGCGACGGCGATGATAAAAGAGGACGGCCGGCCGAGTTGGTTGGTGGGGCTCTCGTGGGCTCCTCCCACTTTGACTTGGCTGCCTTTCCACTTCTCTCTTCCTACCTTTTCGGTTCTCTCTCTCCCTTTGGTGTCTTGCTGGGAACCTAGGAAGCTAGCCCGCGTTCGCACGTACCAACAGCGACTTCTGCGGGTGCTAGAAGCAGGCTAGAGGCGCGCTAGGGGTGTCTCTGGGCAGCTGACGACCGAGAATTGGTCGTACAAGATGGCGAAAATTGACGTCCAGGGGAAAAAGAAAGGAAACAAAAGGTTAGTTACACGGGTTTACTTGGAAGACTTCTCTCGGGTAGCACAGTAAGTGAGAGCCCAACAGACAGGGTCGTTGTGGCACGGTTGTCCAGTTCTCAGCTGCAAATGGCCAATTTACTCTGGCAAGTATTGGGTACCCAGGCCTTGGTGAGGGCCTCGTCCTGCGGCCTTATTCGAGCTTGGGACATGGCCCTGGCGTATCACAAACCAGGGCTCCCGGTACAAAATTTTCGTCTGTAGGTATTTGATGCGTGAACGATGGAGGTTATCATGCAGTCATTCATCTCATTGAGTTTCAGAACAACTGCAGGGCCCTGGAAGATCTGACTGTTTCTTCATCATGCTCGTCTCGTATCGTTTAAGCCTACTGTTGGCTGTGCCGTAACACAATGGATCTCATGTAAGGGCGCACGATTACTGCAAAAAGAGACCAACGACCTCCGCTCTCTTACTCAGATCTGCGAATATGTCCGGCTAGCTTTGTCGGCTTGGCCGGTTCGGGTCGTCGCGGTATGTGGTCCTCGGCTTGTTTGTCATGAGAGAAGCGCCTTGGCATCACGTTTTCAAGGGGTTCAATAGTTAAGCACCTCTCCTGAAGATATATAAGTATCGAAATGAGACTCTCCTCGTCTCTCCTGCTCACAGCCTTTCCCCTGTCAGCAGATTACGCTGCGGGCCAAGCTTAAGCCACGGATCTGTTCCGAGCGTGTCAGAGTCAGCACAACATGAGACGGGGGCCGTGACAGCAGTCACCCGCTCACGGAAGCGAGAGAAGAAATTTTCTTTCAGGCCGTGAAGCTTGCGGTCCGTTCGCAGCAAGGCCGGCCCGCGGTGGCGGAGCTCTCGGGGCTGCCACCCGGCGTGAATGACACACAACGGCCGAAACCCCATTCACTTGAAAACCCTTCACTGTCATGACTGTTTCGAGGTGGGCGGTTAAAAAGAATGACGCCAACGCCCCCGCAGCTTATTGTGACTCTGTTCTTATCTTTCCAGTCGGCCTTCCTCCCTGTACATTGCACTGTAACCAGAACACGACTCCTTCGTGGGGGTTACACGTGGCAAGCAAACAATCAAAATGCAGGCTTTTTTCTTTGGTGGTGGCCAAAATGGAAGCCTTCTAGACTGGACCCATGGAACCACAAGGCTGTTCCAAGTCTCTCTACCAATATTCCCGGCCAGGGACTAGCTCCGGGGGTTGTGTGCCCAGCTGCCGATCCAAGTACCAGGTACCTTGCAAATTGATTTGGTTCCATCCATGGATTCATCGTTGCAATGAGGAGCGTCCGTCTCAACTCGCTCCATCTCTCTGCCTAGTGGGCCATTGTTCACTTGATGACCCTTGCTTCTATTTCAGTCAAGCTTTTTCTATTCTGGATCTGTGCCCAACATTTCTTTTTACACATGTTGGTGCCCCAAAGATGACCCGATATGGTAATGGCTATCGTAATCTGATCAGCACAGAGTTACCGAGCCCAAGGCACGAGATTCAGGAACCAGGCGATCCGATCCACAAGATCCATGAGCTCAGTGGATAAAGCCACAATTGAGGTTACTATTATACAGTATTTGATATGAACGTGGCTTCATCGTCATCCGGATACGAGTGCCTCTGCATGCCACGCGTATAGTGGACCAAGGGCACGTAATACGACGAAAGTTTCCAAACATCGGATTCACATGAACTCATCGATCGGCCGTAATCATGTGATATGACTTGATACTTATCGACCGAGACCGAATGTCGAATTCAATGGCATCAGAGTCTGCCCTCCCTCGTGATGCCAACATAGCTCTCGGTGCTACAGTCCGAATGTTCCTTGATATCAACAAAGCTCGGAACAACACCGATATGTAATAATCACCTTCGCTGATAACTCCAATCTCTTGAGAACTTATGATCAATGCAATCGTACAATTCATTTGTAGTTGGTGACCTCTCCCTATTCATAATATGTTGTACAGGTTCGATATCTGACCGGAGATCATTTATACACACCACATGCCTGTGGCTCTCATCATTCCTTCAATCCAACGAGTCATTCTTCAAGGCACGACATTAATGCCTATCGACTTTGCCTGGTAGATGATTGACCTGCAAAGTCCCTCCAAGGACAAGCCAGAGAGTCGTAGCTCGGTCTGCTTGATCTTGGCAATCTCGTAAACGTGCTTCAGGCTGATGCTTCCGACCGTTTCGTGGCCAGGGTTGCTGGCACCCTTTCGGCTACCCTTCTTGGTGGGTGCATCAGCGGCGTTGAGGAGCAACCACGATGTGTGCGGTGTTCGGACGTCAAAGGTGAATGATCGGTCGGGGCGGACGACGACTCGGCAGGGCATTGGTGTACCGGTGGTGATGTGCGCAGTTCGGGCGTTGAACTCCTGTATCACAGTAAGAAATTGACCTTCAATCTCATGTAATCAATGGCCTCCTGCGCCTCCTCGTGTGTTCCTGACCTTGCAAAAGTCCATCGACTTGACACCCTTGGAACCCAGCGCAGGACCGACGGGAGGACTAGGACTGGCCTGTCCGGCCCCCACGATCAGCTTGACAATCTGATCAACACCTCCGGCGGCTCGACCCTTGGACATGATGGCTGATGTATTGAATTCGGCGGGATCTTGCGACTCGACGTTTCGACGTTGATGGTGTTTTGCGAGCTGGAGAATTTCGAGAGTCGCCGGCTCAGCTAGCGTCCTGATTGGCTCACGGTAGGGGGGTCTTCCCATCCCCCACATGGAACCAAGTGGCCCCACTTGTCTCTGCGTCTCTTGCATCTGAGCAGCTCCAGAAAAAAAAACTTGGGAATCGCATCTTGGGAAACTCACCCATCTTTTCTTCAACCCCATTCTCGCAATTACACGGCCAACATGCCCTCTACTCACAAGAAGGAGAAGCCGTGGGATACGGACGACATTGACAAGTGGAAGGTCGATGTCTTCACCCCAAAGGACAATGCTGGAGGCACTTTTGCTGAAGAGTCTTCGTTTGCGACTCTCTTCCCCAAATACCGAGAAGTCTACCTGAAGGAGGCCTGGCCTCTCGTCACCAAGGCGCTCGAAAAGACTGGTATCGCCTGCACTCTGGATTTGGTCGAGGGTTCCATGACCGTCAAGACTACCCGAAAAACATTTGATCCCGCCGCCATCCTCAACGCACGCGACCTCATCAAGCTCCTTGCTCGAAGTGTCCCCGCGCCACAAGCCATCAAGATCCTCGACGATGGCGTCGCCTGCGATATCATCAAGATCCGCAGCCTCGTCCGGAATAAGGAGAGATTTGTCAAGCGACGACAAAGAATACTCGGACCCAACGGTTCGACCCTCAAGGCCCTCGAGCTGCTCACGGAGACATACATCCTGGTCCACGGTAACACGGTGTCTGCCATGGGCCCCTACAAGGGCTTGAAGGAGATGCGGAGAGTGGTGGAGGACTGCATGGCCAACATCCACCCTATCTACCACATCAAGGAGCTCATGATCAAGCGCGAGCTCGCAAAGGATCCCGAGCTGGCCAACGAGAGCTGGGACCGCTTCCTTCCCAACTTCAAGAAGAAGACGCTCAGCCGACGACGTGTGCCTCTCAAGGTCACCGACAAGACCAAGAAGACCTACACGCCGTTCCCCCCGGCCCCCGAGAAGAGCAAGGTCGATATGCAGATCGAGTCGGGCGAGTACTTCTTGGGCAAGCAGGGCAAGGAGCGCGCCGCGCAAGAGGAGCGCAAGGAGAAGCAGAAGCAGCGAAAGGAGGACAAGGCCAAGGAGCGCGAGGCCGAGTTTGTCCCACCGGAAGAGGGAGGCCGACCCAAGAAGAAGCGCAAGAAGTCGGACGAGTAAACAGGGGCACTTGGTTCTGCATGCTACGTGGGTGGGCAACTGGTGTGAGTTGCTGGCCCATCACACAGGGGCTCTCGAGGTGTATGATACCCTGAAAATGACTCGGCGTTTTTTCATGTCTCTAGGTAGTTAAGGATTCATAGTTGGGGAAAATGTGTATTCAGCTTCTTGTCATCTTTGTTCGATCATTCGTCCTTTACAGCTTTGAGGGTGACTCGCTCCCGGAATCCCATTCAATCACCAACTTGCCAAACTGCTTGCCTTGGTCCATATCCACAAACAATCCTTCGATACCTTCGAGGTTGTCCAACCCCTTGACTATCCGACTGACGATGGGGCGGATCTTCTTCTCTTCCACAAAGGCCATCATCTCACGGAACTCCTTTCGGGAGCCCATAGTCGATCCCTTGAGCTCAATGTTCTGCAGCACTGCCGACATGAGCCAGTCCATCTTGGGCGACACGGTCATGCCGTATTGGACAATGACTCCGCCGGCCTTGAGCAGTCGCACCGTCTTCGCCACGATATCACCGCCCGCCCCGTCGATGACAGCATCCAAGTATGGCCTGTCAGCGGGGAGGAGTGCCCGAAGCTGCTTGTCCCACCCCTCGTTCTTATAGTTGACTCCGCCGCGTGCTCCCATCTCCTTGGCCTTTGCAAGCTTGGCTTCATTGCCTGAGGTGACGTAAACGTTGCAGCCAAAGGCCGCAGCAAACTGGAGAACCACCAAAGCTACGCCGCCGCCAATTCCTGTGAGAAGAATGTTGGCGCCAGGGAATGCAGCGTTGCTCTTTGTGACGAGAGCCCTCCAACCCGTGAGGCCAACAACTGGCAGAGAGGCACCCTCGGCGGGGGTGAGATGTTCAGGCGCAAGCACGACCTCATTCTCGGGCACAGCGATATAGTCCTGTGCAGTACCGACGTCGGTGATTCTGGATCCACCAGTCACGGCGAACTTGCGACTGTCCTCGGGGCCAGCAGGGTCAGAGTCCCAACCACGCATGGGTGTGAGGATGACGGGTTTGTTGAGTAGCTCCTTGCGAGTAACATTGGGTCCAAGGGCCACAACAGTTCCATAGCCATCGGCCAGGAGTGGGTTGGTGAAGGAGATGGCAGGATAGAGATGACGTCGAATAAAGAGGTCGCGATGGTTGAGAGCTGCAGCTGATAGGCGAACTAGGACCTCATTTGCGCCTGGTGTTGGCTTGGGGACTTGTACAACTTGAATACTAAGGGTCAAGGTCAGCAAATGGATGATGACTTGATGAATTGGTCACTGACGGATAGTAGACCTTGCCAGGCTTGGCGCCTTCGATATGCTTAAGGGTGAGAGCTCGAGGCATTGTGATGTCACTGTAGATGTTGTGGCCTGCAATTGGAATTGGATATAGTGAGGGGTGGCAAGTTGAAGTTGTGTTTTAGAATGATATGATTCAGCTCAAATAGGGAGGCAAATATAGATATATAGATATATCTTTGGTGTCTTTACTAATCCAGTCAACTCGGTGAGGAGGAGACAGGATCAAGAGCCGACCAAGCGGCCCCGCTACCGCGCCGCGGACCGAACCTCGGCAGTGTCTTGCATCGATACCGGGCGAACTCCCCAGATGATGCACCTGTTTAACGACTAGTGGTGATCCTGCAGTAGTAGCTATGGTGAACCCATTATTAATACATCAAGGCATTTCCCTTCGTCCATGCTGAATATTCATAATAGTGTGTTTCTGCGCTCTTAAGCCAGAGTGTCATAAGCCATCGTGTTCACTATCACTTAACTTTTACTTTGCTGCAGCTGGGTAGTTAGTAAGACAAGGATATATCTACCTAGTAGATAATCTAGCATATCCTTATCGCGGTTTGTTCACTTAATTATACGTCTATGGACGATGTTCACTTGAACTTATAGTAATGCGGCTGAAGGTGCAAAGAATGGCCTTGGCTTGTCTTAATGACCCTGACTTTATGACAATTTTTATTGAAAAATACTAAAAAGGATACCCTAAGATAAAGTAATACTTAGATCTTTATCCTTTATTATCCTCCTCTTTTAGCTATCCTTAGGGACCTAATAGTTAACGGACGGACGGATAGAATGCCCATCTATCTATCTATCTATCTGTCTGTCTGTCTGTCCGTCTATCTACCTATCCGTCTGTCCATATGACCTATATTTATCTACCTGAAGAGACGGGTTCCCACCTCGTATGAGTTGGCAGCGGCTAGTTGAGCATGAATAACCAAGGATGATGAGACAGATAGGAAGAGGTGAAACTATGAAAATCAGGCAGCGAATGAGGACGGACATCGACTCTGTCGCAACTTGTTCGAGGTAATGAAAGGGACGAACGCAATGTGTGGCGAAAAGGACGACGACAACGTGTGGCTGAGAGGCGATGGACGAAAGTATCTGATGACAACCACGATGACGTCGAGGAGCAAGGGGTTGGAGAGTGTGTGAAAAAAATCTGGAAAAAAAAAAAGTCCCCTTGCTTGGGGAAATTATAGGGACGATCTGGGTTTGTGCAACGGTCTTGCAAAGGGAGGGACGCCACAACGTTCATAGTGCTTCAGGGGGGGTGCTGTGGTATGCATCCATCAGCTTGATACAGCGCGGTTCCATTGAGGGATGGGCTGGATTTGAAGTCTCCGATTGACTGGTAGAAAGCAGGGTTAAAGTGTTTGAGGATAGGTATCTAATTAGATAGAGGACAGATGTAACAGTGATATGATGCTCAAGTCGAAGATGGACGGACATTTCGTCATATTTCACAAATCCAAGTTGGTTAATCAACCGATCTTCGACCACCCTACCCATGCTTAACAGTTAACGGACAGACGGACAGACAGCATGCCCGTCTGTCTGTCCGTCCGTCTATCCATCCATCTGTCGGTCTGTCTGACACTGATCAAAGTCGAAGCTTATTCTTCCATGTCAGGCTCCCATATTCGAAAGACATCCATGTCTGTCGTTGGTGCTTTAGCCAGCTGGCAATTGGGCCTCTCCCCACTGAGACAATGGACCCCAGGCGGAGAGCGCGCTGTAACGGCACCTCGGCCCCTGTAGAGACGCACTAGCCCGCTGCGCGGGTGCCCTGCCTGCCTGCCTATGCCAGGTGAGTAGGTTGTCACCTGCCGGTGCTGCACAAGCCTGGAAGGCAGCCGCCGCCTACCAAAGGCAAAGGCTAGAGTTTAGGTAACCTTGTCCCGCCGCCAAACTCGCTCTGCCTGGATCCATCTTCAACCTTCAAACCCTCGACTCGACGAGCGCCCCCGATTCCCTCAACTTCCTATCCGCCCTCCCGACCTCCTCCGTCCGCCGTCGTCACCCGTCCTTCTCGATCGCATAGCCTGCTGCTCTGCTCTTCCGCCGCCATCGGCCTCGTCTTTCATCATGTCGAATAATCGCAACTACGATTTCCTGGTACGATACACCTCTACCTGTCCACGTTCCCTCACCCCCACCGCCCGCAAGCCCGCTCAACTACCCCCCTGCGTCCCTGGCATTTTGTCTCGAACCAACCCCCAGATTGGCCATGTGAATTTGCAGAGCGAAATGTTGCCCTTCGCGATCGCCGCTCAGTGCCCGCGATGGTGTTGAGAATCACTCCCGCTGACCATGTCCTGTCTCTTCCTCCACCGTATAGATCAAGCTGCTCCTGATAGGCGACTCCGGCGTCGGCAAGTCGTGCTGTCTGCTGCGCTTCAGCGAAGATTCCTTCACCCCGTCCTTTATCACCACTATCGGTATCGACTTCAAGATCAGGACCATTGAGCTCGATGGAAAGCGCGTCAAGCTGCAGATCTGGGATACCGCTGGCCAGGAGCGCTTCCGTACCATCACCACCGCCTACTACCGCGGTGCTATGGGCATCCTCCTGGTCTACGACGTCACCGATGAGCGCTCATTCAACAGTACGTCTCCGTGTCATCTTGTCCCGCCGAGTCCTGATGGTCCATCCCGCCATCTACCGTCGTTGCCGCCTCCTCGGCGCCGCCGGTCAAGCCATGGCACCCCAATCGATGCACCATGCTGACACTGACATTGCAGACATCCGTACCTGGTTCCAGAACGTCGAGCAACACGCCACCGAGGGCGTCAACAAGATTCTGATTGGAAACAAGTGCGACTGGGAGGAGAAACGCGTCGTCTCTACTGAGCAGGGCCAGGCCCTCGCCGACGAGCTCGGCATCCCCTTCCTCGAGGTCTCTGCCAAGAGCAACATCAACATCGACAAGGCTTTCTACAGCCTAGCCGCCGATATCAAGAAGCGACTCATCGACAACTCCAAGAACGACCAACCCTCGGCAAGCGGCGTCAATGTTGGCGACAAGAGCGAAGCCGGCGGCAGCAAGTGTTGCTGAACCACTGAATACCCCGAGGAGTCCGTATCTGTCTTTTCTCCGTCTGCCGTCCTTATTTATTAAACTTATAACTTTTGTTAACTTGGCACGCCGTGGAGCGGGTCGGTGTGCCTGTGCTGTGCTGCGATGCGATGCGATGCGAGTTGGAGAGTGAGTTCACCAAGAGAGTGGGAAGCGAACTTGGGCGTGGGAGGAAAGGCAACCGAAAGAGAGGAGGAACAGATGGATGATGGCTGGCTGGCTGGCTGGCTGTGAGCTGAGTTGAACAGGGCGGCAATTTCAGTCATCATGAAAGAGGAGATGCGACTACACTATGCGCGAGGTTTTGGTCATGTCCCATTCTCCCCCTGACCGACCTTCCACCCCATCTTAGAGAGCAAATCCGGTCTGGAGTTTCGGTTTTTTGATCTGGGTCTAATATACATTGCTTTCGTTACGTGTCTGGTCTGTTCGTGGTTGCGCTTGGATCGAGAGGCTGCTTTATCATTGTTCACGAGAGGCACTGCAGAGGGGACACAGTAGAGAAGCTGCATCGCGAGAGGCTGCTGGACAGATGGCCACAAAGTCGGATGGCATTGAGGGGAGTGATGTACCATGGCTGATTCATTTTTTGATACTGTATCCTTTCTATTATGTTCAATCGCTAAAACTCAATATATGATGCCGTCACTGTTGTTTTTCTGCCTTTGTCGTCCACAAGCTCCCGCTGGTTCCAGCTCCGAATAAACCGCCAGGCAACCTCGGAGTCTCTACAGAGAAGGACAAAGCGAGTGTTGAGTTTGAGGCGAAAGTTGATGTCTTCTAGGGCCACTCGCGTGCCGAACTTGTCAAGCAAGGCGTGGTCCTCGAGGGTGCGGGAGAGCGAGTAGACAGAGCTGACATTCCACGGATGGTTGCGCTCGGCACCGTCCATTCTGATTAACCTGTCGAGTCCCGTGCCCGATAGGAGCGGGTGCCGCAGCTGCAGCAGAACAGCGGCCGGCGGGAGTTTGTAGCCGGAGCGGCGGACGAGGAAGTCCATGAGGAGCTGCCACGGCCATTTGCCCTTGGAGCGGGACAGTTTGGAGGAGATGGTTCCCGGGTACGAACCCGGGACGAGGGAGAACTGCTCGAGCTCGGCCTCGAACTCTCCGTCGCCTCGCAGCTCGGGCGGGACCTCGCTGGTCCAGAGACCGGTGGTGCAGTGCAGCTTTATCCGGGCGAGACGGAGGAGACGGTCGAGCGTGGCCTGGTAAAGCTCGGCGGCGGAGCTCGATCCGAACGAGATGCGGTAGGTGCCGATGGGGTCGAGCGTCCACGGGTCACGCTCCTGGTGGACTGTTAATCTCAAAGTTAGCTTCTGGCGAATTGTGCTGGTTAAAAGGATACGCACCCTCCTTGATGAGGTTCCTCCAGCTGGCGAGATCCTTGCCGTTTAAACGCAAAAAGTCGTTCGAGACCAGCGACGTCGGCAGACCTTCGAGAACGAGCATGCGACCAGCCTGGTTGTTGCGCTTCCAAAACTCTTTCCTGGCCTCTTGATGGCTCGCCTCCTCAAGAGGATCAAGCCCGGGCCCGGGGGTCTCGGCGAGGTTCCTCCACTTTGAAAACTCGTCCTTGGGACTGAGCTCGACCTTTGGGATTCCGAGTTCATCCTCGGGTTCTCTGTCTTTGCTGCTGTCCGGGGCCTTCCTCCCGGGCACCATCCACCGGGGATCCTTGGGGTTGCGGACCGACGAGATGGACCTGGCGCCGAGGGCGGCCGCGCTGGGGAGCCATCGGGGACGGATCATCCGGGCGGAGGCGTGTAGACAAACATGGGATGCCCCTGGGGAAGAGGGATTGAGTGAGGTTGGAAGTGGAAGCTCGAATTGTTGGCAGGATTCGAGGTTTGGAAGGGTTGGACATGTTTTGCGCCGGGGCTCAAAAAGGTTTAGTGGACCGACCCTTGGAGGTGGGACGTATCATGGCAGGACTCATGATGAGAGAAGGATGGCTGTTGGTGACATCTTTGGTCTTCTTTACCGATTTATTGCACTGGGGATTAGAAATTACCACTGACACACCTGAATACATATAATACCTTTCATGGATTGGGAGAGTGGCCTCGATTGAAGCCCTGTTCTGCTTGATCTATCACAGGGGATGATAGTCTGCAAGGATGATCGTGAGATATGAGTCTCGTCTAAACCCCTCACTAAGCATCGGAAAATAGCTAAATAAAGGTCAAAATTTGATCAAGTATATCCAAAATATATCTTCATATTATTCTTATGTACTCTATGTTCCCTGGGACTTAGGAAAATATTTAGATCAAGATTGTCAAATCCTATATCATTTTTTTTCACGTCCATGGTCAGGCTCCCGCACTAGTTTGCAATTCTTGCCATTTGTGTGCATCAGAACTTTTACACTGATCAACTACAACCCAGGCCAGTAGGGACTGAATCAAGAATCGACTCTTCACCTCAACCCATTTGATTTTCCTTCTCTACTTTCCCTCTTCTGATAGGCTTCACTATTCATCATGCTCGCAAAGAGCATCGACGCCAAGGTGCGGCCTCTGGCCAACACCAGCCTCGAGAAGTCGAGCCTCATCGGCGCCGCACGCATCTACGTGAGCAAGGACACGATGCTCTCGCTCAACGGAAACCTCGAGAGCGGCAAGCACTGCATCGTCACGAGGCTTGAGAACCCCCGCGAGGCAAAGGAGGATGGTCCCCGGGAGGAGCTCAAGCGGGAGGCGTCGCTGTGGATTTTGCCTGAGAAGAACTTGAGCCCCAACGTCGTGATGATGACCAGGGCTTTCCAGGATGCGACGGGCTTCAAGATTGGCGACCCCGTGCGTATTGCCCTTGCGGGGACGACTCCTGATGCAGAGGAGATTGTTGTTCAGGATGCTACTGAGCAGACTGAGAAGACGGCCAACGATATTGCAAGTATGAAGAAGCATGAAAAGGAGGCCCGATACCCTCCTTCCTGGGAGGCATCTCTCGCTTGTGCTCTGGGTACGTTAACTATAAAACAGACCATAGAGCAGATACTAACGTGGTATTCAGCTCGTGCTGATCAAGTCTATCCCGGCATGGTCCTGGAAGCAATTCTTTCTAGCAAGTATCGACGAGCTTTCAAGGTCGTATCCGTCAACTCTCAAACCAACAGCCTGGCCCGTTTCAACAATGCCTCATCAGCCATCCGCATTTCCGACGGGGACGAGCCAGAAGCTCAAGTCAACGGCCAGACAGGTGGCGATCTGATCGTGACGGGAGTTCCTGGAATGGGAACCCAGGTCGAGGTCCTCAACACCTTCCTCGATGCCTTCACAAGACCATTCTACTTCAAGGGCGAGCAAAAGTCGTGTGGATTTGTTATCCACGGCGGTCAAGGTACAGGCAAGACCTTCTTCTTGGAACGCGTGGCGGCGACAAAATGGGGGAGGGTTCATTGGATCAAGCCATCCGAAAAGATTGCTGCCATCAGAGAGACGTTCAAGCTAGCCCAGAGCCAACAACCAAGCATGATCCTCATCGATGACTTTGAGGCTTTGATTAACAAGGATCGGTCTAATCGAGACACGGTTATTGATACCATCGCCGAGGAACTGGACCAACTCTCTGCAGTTGCATCATCAAGCACCGCCATGCCTCAGGTCGTGGTGGTCGCAACATGCACCGATTATCTTACAGACATCCCGGCCAAGCTCCAGAAGACCCGTCGTTTCAGTGGAAACGTCGCTCTGCCTATTCCCAGAACCTCTGAGCGTCTCGAGATCTTGAACTACTTCAACCCCCCTGTCAGACCCGAGGAGAAGCACAATCTCCTGTTGGAGTTGGCCCAACGAACTCATGCCTACAGCCCCCAGGACTTGGACAAGCTTGTTTCAAACGCTATACAAGGTGCTGCCCGTCGACTTCGAAAATCGGGCGCCGATCCCTCAGTCGAGCAGGAATATTTCCTCGAACAGGCGGATCTGGAGCAGGCAAGACAGGCGACTCGACCTACGGCTATGCGCGATATCAACCTCAACCCACCAACCATTCACTGGCAAGACGTTGGTGGTCAAGATATCCTGAAGAAGGCTCTGAACCGCATGATCAGATATACCAAAGTGAGATCTCCGTGAGCCCCTGAAAATACCACAACTGACGCTTGTTTAGCATCCCGAGCGTTCTCTCCGTCCTCCACCAAAGGGTCTCCTTCTATATGGTCCTCCAGGTTGTTCCAAGACGCTCTCAGCCCAAGCTGCCGCTACCGAGTCTGGCTTCAACTTTTTCGCCATCAAGGGTGCTGAACTCCTGAACATGTATGTCGGCGAGACTGAGCGTGCAGTTCGCACTCTGTTTGAACGTGCCCGCAACGCCTCTCCGTCCATAATCTTCTTTGACGAGATCGACTCCATCGGTGGTTCACGTACCGGTGGCTCAGGAACTCGCAGCACAGGCGGCGTCAACATCCTCACCACCCTCCTCACTGAGATGGATGGTTTCGAGGCTCTCTCGGGAGTTCTTGTGCTCGCAGCCACTAACCGTCCCGAGGCTATAGATCCTGCTCTGATGCGTCCCGGCCGTTTCGATCAGGTGCTCTACGTTGGACCTCCGGATGCATCTGCTCGTGAGGCCATCTTCAATGTTCACCTCCGAGGTCTACCCCTTGCCCCTGATGTCGACATCTCGGACCTCTCGGCTCGTTCAGAAGGTTACTCTGGCGCCGAGATCAAGTCCATCTGTGATGGAACGTACATGCTGGTGCAGGAACGGTTTGATGATGATGAGACGAACAAGCTCGAGCTGAGCATGTCGGACTTGGTGACGGTGCTAGAGAGAACGCCACGCAACATTACGAAGTTGATGATTGACGGGTATGAGACGTGGTCGAAGCAGTTCAAGAAGGTCTAAAAGTTTGAGTTATCTCACATATTTCCTTTATTAACGATACATAAAGATACCGTCCCGGGCTAGATAACGACATGCTGGTACAGAGTAGATGCTTAGATAGGGATGGATGGTAGGTCATAGATAAAAGTTTGATTTCATCTACGGGTCTTTGTTTTCATTCCATCATCACCAGAGACCTCGTCCTTTCCTTCAGACTTCGGCTCACCCTCTCGTTTTTCAGAGAGACCATCCATAGTCATATATGTTATGATACACAGCCAGCCACCTTTCCTCACATCGGCCGCTCGTCAACTGGCAGACCGCCGCTCATCTAGAGCCCCCTTCCCCTTCCTTTCGCGATCCTGCCAATCTCATCAACCGAAAGATCCCATTTCGTTTCCCTCCCACGCCATGCCATGCCATGCCATGCCGCCGCTTCTCGACGACTCTATCACCTAGAAGAAGGCCGAGTCTCGGCCCAGACGGAGAGCCCCATTAGACCAGACCAAGAATTGCCAGTCTCCCAGCACATCTCGGCAAGGAGCCGCTGGGAGACGAGAGCAAATCATACGAAACCGAGAGTATAGTGACGAGGAGCCACAAGGAGAATTCAAACACAACGCCAGTCTCCTCCGCATAGACCATCCCTTAACCAGCCATCCTTGCCAAATGTAATTTGTGAGGGAACGAGTCCTCCGAGCCCACGTCCCCCCCGTTCCCTGGTAAACCAAAACAGACCAAATACCCGTACGCCATCGCCGAAAGAAGGGCACAATGAATTTTTCACGAGTCCTCGTTAGATCCCGAGCCGCTGCCTGTCCGTAGAGCCGAGGACAAGCTGATGGCGATCTTCTTCGGGCCATTACCACTAGTAGGTCCGGCGTTGAAGCTCTTGCGTCTGCGGAGGACGCCGTGAGATGCTCCCGAGCCACTACCAACAGAACCACTGCTGTTGCGTCGCTTGTTGTGCAGAAGCTTCCCGAGCTCATCTTCGTCCTCGTCCTCTTCGCGTCGTCGCTTTTCTGAAAGTCGCTCCAGCGGTGGTATAACTCCGAGGCTCGAGTCGATTGGTGACCCCACGGCGTCCGATGCCACATCGCTTTGGCTCTCTGATGCTTGAGGATCAACATTTTCGTCCGTCTCTTCATCAGATGCGTAATCCACGAGAGGTTTCGATGCGGTAGACCCGTTAGTCGAAGGCGCCTTCTCCGGGTCCTTGTTCTGTGAATCCTCCTCTTCCTCGGGGTCCGATGTTGCCCAGTACTCCTCTTGCTCCTGCTCGACATTGATTTGTTCCATCAATCTCGTCGGCTGTGGTCTCCTGCCTATCTCATCCTCACCCTCTAGGAAGTAATCCATGTTTGATGTATATCCCTGAGTTTGATCATATCGAAGAATGATGTCTCGGAACGTGGGCATGGAGCTCAAACCTAGCAGTCGCTCCCGGTAGTTCACTACAAGGTGCTTGATCAAATCTTTAACGTTCTCCTTCTTAATGAACTCGAAGAACTCCAGCGACGCGGAACCCAGGAGGTTGTCCCTGGGCATTGTTTCGATAAGCACATCGAGAATTGGTCCCAGCACTTGCTTTTCCGTCAGCTGCTTGATGTAGAATTCGTCCTGGAGTCCAATCAAAGAGCGGAAGAATCGGATAGAAACTGCCATAGGTTAGCATAGATTGATAAACGGACAGTAGATATAGCGTACCCAGTCGCAAATACTTCTCGGGGCACTTGAGAAGTTGAGCAACTCGCTGAGCAATATTGTTCGACATGACAAAAAACTTGCAACGTAGATTGTGCTGTCGGATAAAGAAACACAGAATCTCTATCAGATACGTAAACATGGACGCTTGTTGTACGGGGAAGCTCATGTCTGTCCGCTTCTCCAGGTCGAGCAATGGCTTAAACAGCCTTGGCGCAGATCGTTCATAAAATCGGTGCAGGAAGATGTCTTGCTGAGGATCCAGGCTCCCTTGGGGGCGCGGTCTCCCACCAAAGTCGCCATTCGCCTTTGCAAAGCTCTCGGCGTTTGGCATTTGCGCAGGTCCGGGGTCCAGCAGCACTTTGAGAGCTTCTGATATTTGTGACTTGACACCAAGGTCAACTTCCACCAATAAAAGATCAATCAAAGAGTCCGTCAGGGGTGGCTGATTCTCGTGCATCTGTCGGTAGAGCGTCTGGCGTATCATCTGGGGGTCATGGTCGATTATGGAGATGAGAATATCTGTAGCGCCGACCCTCACTCCAACATCGTGGTGCCGCAGTCCAAAGTGGATGACCTGCAAAAGGCCGTGGGCGATAAAGTTGTTGTACAAGGTCTGGCGGGCCGGTGGCTGGATGTTCTTTGCTATAGCACAACACTGCTGAATAAACAGGACCGCCTCCTTCTTCCTCTTCTGATCGTTGTTTGCAGTACTGAAGATGCCAAACAGTTCATTGAGGAACGCTGCATTCGCTTGGAGATGTTGGACAATGTCGACCTGGTTGAAAAAGATGAGGGAATTGAGGACCGAAAAGGTAGGGTCGTCGAGTATGCGCGCAAGGACGACATCCTTGAGGTACTGTAGCCGATATGTCTGATGGATCTTCCGACGGGTCTGCTCATCCTCGATCCGCACCACTTCCTTGTAACGACCTTGATTTCCGAGCCAGTGACGATGATTAGCTTTGTGACTGGGGAAGTCTGGATCATACTCGAGGGCGCCGACGACTCCCAACACGCATTCGTCTGATACAGCATGCTCGATAATCGAAGTGTCGTTGAGGAGGATGACTGTCTTCATGATATTGCAGAGTCGGTGCAAGTCCTGGAGGCTCTCAAGATCTTCGGCCATCTCAACCATGGGGATGAGTTTGCCAATGTAATCCTCGGCCATGATGGCCTTTGCAAGCGCATCACGACCGTTAGCTGTCGTGCTCATCATCCGCATGGTTGACTCAATCTCGCCGAGATTTCCGAGTTCGGCAGTAGGCAGGTTGATCGTGGGCGGGACATCGATAGCGAGATCGTCGGAGAGGCCATCGTCTAGACATTTGGCATCAGCAAAGTAAACCTCCTCGGATGAGGAGTAGGGCTGCATACCGGCGCCAGCAAGGTTGTGAAAGGTTTGCTGGACGCTGCTCACGAATCGCCTAAGAAAGAGTCAGCGGTCGGACCTAATAGATGAGACACGGGACAAACCAGATCATGGAGCATCCTTCGGCTTCTTGAAAACTGAGAGCCATATCCACGCCATTGCTCGGCTCCTGCCATACGATGAGGGTATCTGCGAGTCAAGTCAGACATATGACGTCTCCAGCGCAAATCGAGTATCAAGACGTGCCTTGCTGCTTCTGAAAGCCATCTTCTTTCTGAATCTTGGTCTCTAATAGGAGGCGGTCGGGTTGGTCTTCGGATTCGACGATGACGCGCGGATCCTTGCGACCATCTTCGAGCTAGAGATCGCCTCAGTTAGCCACGCATCTCATGCGCAAGGAGATAAAAAAGGCCAGGGTGGATTAAAGGACAGCGACATACAGTCTCGAAGCTCGCGCTGCAGAAGCCGGTGCCTCGGTCGAACCAGTCATTGTTACGGAGCTCGTAGACCTTGACGCGCTTCTTATCGGTGGGCTGATGAGGCACGGGCTGTGCCATCATCAAAGAATCGGGCTCCCCCTCGGCAGTGAGGTTCGTGTACGCAGCCAGATCCGGGGCAAGTTCGAGATGCTGTTGCAGGGACAGCTCCGAGGGTTCGTTGTGGCTCAGGATCGTAAGCGCCGCCACGGTTTCTCACGGTGCGCGCAGACACGGCGCGACAGTCGGCTTTGTCAGGAAGCGGAATGCCCTGAATGAGGATTGCGTCGTTGCGCTGCGGCGCGGTAATCAATTCTTTTTCAACGTAGAGCGAGGGGCAGCCGTCAATGCGCCATGCAAGAGGGATGTTTTGGAAGCGAGGCGGCGAGGGCCGGTGGATCGGAAGTGGAGGTTGGATGGGATGACTGGACTGGCGACACGCCACGGAGACGAACGGCGGGAAGGAGAGAGCGACGCCGGCGACTAAATGAAAGCGCGACGAACAGGCGACGAGGACGGCGACAGCAGGTATCAAATTGCCGGGAGCGGCAGGGCGGAGGCCGAAGCGGAGATGCGGGTTGGGTTTGGCGATCGGGCTCCGATAAAAATGAGGACTTTTGAGGCTGTCGAGGATTGCGGATGAGGTGGGCAATGCGCGTGACCAGGCTGCCAGATGGTGTTGGGTTTGGGGCCTTGGGGCCTTTTCCTTTTGGAGGGGAGGGGGGACCTTCCCCTTCGTCTTCCCTTCCATTTCCATGGGGGCGCGAAAAGCTCTGAAGCCACATGGTGTGAGGCTGGTGCCTGGATTTCATCCAATGGCAGCCTATAATGAGCCTTTGGCGAGTGGAGGCCGGTTACGTGATTGTGGCTAGTGGTTTGCCACACCCCAACCAGAGTGAGGCTTGACCCCTTGATTGATAGCCACTCGATCTGCTCCAAAAAGAAAAGAATGGCCCCATGCCATCCAATGCTCGTGTTTCTGCTCCATTCTTCTCCAGTTTCTCCAATGCCTGTTGTGACCCCTGGCCCTGTTATTTTGGTGATGCAGACGCCATCATGCGGCGACAGATAAGATGCTGAGTTAGCCGAAGGGGAATCCACGGGCAAGGCCGAAACCAAGATTGTGGTTTACAGGCTCTGTCGAACAACAATGACTGGCTCTTGTGACAGAAGCAAAGGGCATTGCAGCAAGTTTGACGGACATGCAGATGTCCGTTGGTCCGTTTATTGTCATGGACGAATCGCCACATGCACTTTGTTCGACGATCTCTAAAGACGTCACGCGATTCCTGCATTTTCCAGCAGCAGGGCATTCGCGTCAACTTGAACAACACGTCGTCGAATATGCAAGTCAGTCCTCAATTAAGGGTCTCACGACCCCTGTGATGGCACACGATCAGGACAAAGTCATGAGTTCATCCCGCTCTAGGGGTATGTTCTAGTAGACAACAAGAATAACAAAAGAGTAGACAAGGCATTGTCTTTCCTTATGATGATAGTTCTTTGATGATTTTAGTATGTTTTATGTAAATTAGCTTGCAACCTTTGACAAGGCTTAGATAGTCTTTGCTATGATCTGTCGTTTCTGGACCCCCCTGTGATCGTTAGCTTCGATAATTAAGTTGGTCATGACGCTACCCTGCAGGAACGTGTCGGCGACTTTTTGAGTCAATCTCGTTGATGACCTGGAGAAGGTTTACGTTGCACGTGCTAAATTTAGCCCGCATTCTTGACCGTCAGCTCTTTACTCCTTATCGCCTTGCTGCTAGTCCAATAGCTGAGCTTGATGGAGCTGTCTGTGATGAGCTCTGCTGGATGACAGAGCTCCAAACACCTGCGGAACCCAATGGACCAAGGTGGGATGATGAAGATTCATTGCCTCGGTATGGAGGCTTCACGTGTGAGGCGAACAGTCACAAGCAAGCGCTGTTTCTTCTATGAGCTCGACGAATGCTAGCTAGTACCGGTCATCTGCACATGAGATCACTACCTATGAGTTATCATGAGTTGGCCGCGGCATGGCGCTGTCGAACAACTACTCTGGTAGTTGCTAACGATGTCGACACACGTGATCGGTGAGCACCATGAGGACAAATGGTAGATGAGACATATCGTCGAGATAGAGGGTGAGCAGTCTCGGTAGTAAACATGTCCCCGAATGTTGGCGGCCTCCGTCTTCGCCCCGTTCTCACCCCGTCTCCGAGCTATTATTCTGTGGCCTCAATAGCAACTATTCCCCAAGACGAAGAGAGGAACCTAGACACAGCTACGCCACGGTCAACCGGCTCAGCCATCTCCATCGTTTCAAGAGGGCGGTGAGTTTCGGGCATGATGAACAACAGCCAAGACACGATCAATAACCACAATTGAGCCATCCCGTGACAAGCGTGACCCCCGACGTCCCGAGAGGAAGCCAAGACTACGCGAATGGGTCTTAAGAGGTCGAAAGATCATGACTCGGTCTGTCCGACGGACATCGCGACGAATCAAGAGCTGAATAGGTCAGCTGGGGAATTACCGCGCCTTGCGTGGCACAGTAGCCGGTTCCGTTGACGTTGGTAGCCACCCGGATGGAGGACAAACACCAGTACACTGGGGTATTGACTTGCAGTCGTGAAGGAGGGAGGATAAGAAGGTGAAGAGTCTATAAGATAATAGACAGAAGCTTTTCTAGGATATTTAAAAGCCTAAGAGTATTGTATGTGATTATTTATATAATTCGTAAATTCCCCTAGAAAAGTCGTATTGTTGATGAGTAGATGGCCTTGCTGTGAGAGTCTGTTTCTTGACCGGGCAGTCTGGCAGTCTGGCAGCCTTGACGGGCCCTCGGGCACTTACAAAGGTCCCGGACCACAGACGACTCCAGCTCTTCACCGCCGCTGCGGGCTGTTGCTGCTGAATACGGAATGGGAGCAGTCTACGAGAGAGAGTTTGGAGCCCCAAGTTCTAGGCCAAGACCCGATTTTCGACGATCCTAGCAAGCCAGGACCTCGCTAACTCTTCCTGGAAGACGAGGGTCTTCTAAAACTTCTAGCGCCGATGGGATGCCTGATTGAGCTTGGACGGCGGAGTGACAGGACGTGGGGGGGAATCTCGTGTCCTTTTGCGATTCAGGGAGGAAACGAGACAATGCCCAGCATCCCGATGCTTCCGGTCATGAAGTCTCTCAAGGGTCAAGAAAGTCACCCCTTTTTGGCTTTTTATTCTCTCTTTTATCAAGTCATAATCGTGAAAACCCTTTCAGGCTCGCCTTTTACGTCGTCGTGTGGCTTGACATGGGTGACATGCTTGGCGTAGATCGACCAGGGGGGCCTGGACTGTCAAACATGTCACGGCGCGGGAAGTTCCTGAATCGACAACCTCCGCGATGAGAAGCAGCCCGCGGACAGCGACAGGGTTCCAAGTCAAGTCTACAGCGCACGAACCATCCTGACGGTATCGAAACAGTAAAAGGCGTTTGCCATTCAAGGCACAGGGACCGCAACAGTTGCGAGCTGCCCTATAACAGGGCCCATGTTGATCGGTGCGGGCGTCCGGAATGGATTGGCGCCACTACATCGAGCCCTGTGAGCGTCGAGGCCCCTGGACGATTGACCCTGTGAACCTCATCGTGAGGCCAGCCCTGGATTAAGAGAAACCGTTGAGGAAAGAATCTGTCGTATTCCCGCGTCAATTGACGTAGATGAGGCTTGACTCCCCTCCCAGCAAGACGCCTCTTGTCTGACGTGTAAGTGGTCTTACATGGGGGATGCTCCATGTCATGGAAGACATGGTGAAACGACGGGAGAGAATTCTACCTCCACAACCACATACGGCACAAGGACATCCGCATCTTGGCCACGCGAGAAGTCAAACGGCTGACAGTGAATGAGTAGCAGACTGCAAGTCACCCTATCTTCTCTACAGACAGAAGAGCTGAGCTGACTCTGAACAAGACCCGCAAGGGGGGACAATACGACGGCGTAGGCGACAATAGACAGAGGCAATTACACGCAGACCAAGAGCTCACTGCCCTTATTCACAGCTCGTGACTTTTATTCTTTCGGCCTTAGTGGCGCTGAAGTGCTGCCAGGGGACGACAAGCGTGGATCGGTCGCGGCCCCAGCCACCACCACCACAAGCGACAATAACTACCAGATTCCCGGGACGCGATATGGAGCCCCCCTGCGAGAGTCGAACCTGGGCGAGACCCGGGTCCTGGGACCTGTCTACTGCCTTATAAGCTGTCGGCCCGATCGTTTAGAGAACAGTGGATACTAGGAGAGATCCAGGCCATCGCTGCTACGCACGTGGGTAGTCAAGTAGAGGTCTTGATCACGGAAGATGCCATGAAGCCAGCACGGACGGCCGGGGACTGAGAAATGTTTCTCTCTCTAACCGAGTCTGCCTGTTTCGAGCCAAGAGACAGTCTAACAGAAACGGAACCTTCAGCTTCCTTGATCCTTCTCCCGCTGCGGATACGTATTGTTTCTGTTCTTGATTCATGTTCCTGCGTCAGACGTGCGACATTGTGGCTCAAAGCTCAACGTAGAATGCTTCTCTTGCAGGCTTCTAACCCTCTGACGGTGGTTTCATCACGAGCCCCTAGTTTCCTATTCTGATCATCGCTGACGGCATCAGGGGACAAAACGAGTCTTTTGTGGCGCACTACTTTAACCGCCTCTGGTGGTAGGGCTCTTGGTCATTGCAGAGTTTGGAACCTGGATCAAGATCGGCCACTCCACGCCGCCGTTGCGGGCCACCAAGTTTCTGGGCTTGTTCGGCTTGCTCGCTTGACGCTGAGAGAGGCTTGCTCAACTTTGACGCCAGCTTTCCAACGCATCCGGTTTTCTCTGGCGTCGCCAGGGCCTGAGGCTGTATCCCTCTGTGTTGTGAAGGCTTTATATCTATCCGTCTTCTCCCTCGAGATGACGACTCTCTTCTCCAGACCACAACACAAGACAACAACAACAACCACAACAAACAACAAACAACTACTACAGCCTCTACAGCTGAGACAACCGTTACAACAACTACAGCCACAGCTACAACTTGCAAACCAACACCATCTCATCTCTTCACCACCAACAACCACCACCATGTCTATCCTCAGTCACATCAAGCGCGCCCGTGACCACAAGGAGGCCGTCAAGGCCAAGGAAGTCGAGCAACCCAAGCCCACCAAGCCCACTCAGGCCTACCGTCACATCCCCACGCACGCCGCCTGCGACTCAGTGAGCAGCGGTCCCATGGGCTCTCGCCGCAACGACCGCTCCAAGGTTCGCGCTGAGAACCGTAAGCGCACTGCAAAGGCCGTGGCAGAGACTGTTGCCGAGAGCCACCACATCCAGATGAACTTTCCCGGTTCTACCACTTCGTCTCCCTTTGCCAGCAGCAGTAGCAGTGGATCTTCTACTGCCACTTACCAGGCGAGCGAGGCCGACTTCTACGACGGCGATGTCAGCCCTATGAGCCGCTCGCCTGTCCAGAGCTTCGGCTTCCTTACTCCCCCTACACGCAACTTCTACCAGCCCGCTGAGGCGGCTTACCCTCATCCTCTGTCTCTCAAGGGCAAGGAGGTTGTCCGGGGTCCCACATACGGCATGGCCTACTCGGTGTCTCCCAGCAAGGAATCACTCCCTGAGCACTTCCAAACGGCACTCATGATCTGATTGCATACTCCATAGGAGGCTTCATGCCCCTGGAGGGTTCAGCAGCCTCATGAAGAAACCAACAAAAAAGAGCACGCCAGCCTGCAAAGGCACACGGCGTACGGCTTCGGTCAGTGACCAAACCGTGCTCTCGCAACCGGCGACGGCATCGAGCAGGACTCAAAAAGAGCCGGACCAACCGAAACAAAGTCGCTTGAAACATCTCGGCTGGAACTCGAAGCGTCGCCTAAATAGGCGCCACACGAGACGGACCACGGGAATCAGTCTTGGACGACTCGGGACTAGGGTCAAAGATAGAATGGCCTCATTCTTCTTCTTCTTGACTGTCATGTAATAATTAGACTTTTTCTAGAACTAGACGAATGCTGTTTTGCCTCGTTAGTTGTATTAGCAAGCAAGCGTCTTGAATGGCTCTGCCTGGCGCGGAATGAATCAACGATAATTCTCTTCAATGGATGCATTCAGATCATAGTGACCTTGTAGCGCGTGCTTTAATTGAAAGGCGTTATCGGCAGTCTAGTGGATTGTGGGTGTTGGGTATGCTCTAGATGGCGATTACTCAACATTGGAGCAAGAAAATAACGGTGAAGATAGTTTCATGGTGTTGATGTCGAATTAAAGAGTTGATACTGCATGAATTCATGGTGGATTAAAGATTAGTTAGATTTCAATGCGTCCCTAAAATGCAGGTCAAGACCCCTAAAATAACGACCCCCCAAAATGAATGTCTCTATCCACTCTCTGACTGGCTCAGCGCATCCCCCCGTCCCTGACCATCTACGTAATCGACAGGGACCTTCCATCTCGAGATCCAGCTTTCGTGGCCTCAGGAACAGAAGCAACTTGGAGGTACGCGCAACCTCGTATCGTATTACGGGCTTCATTTCTTTGCACTTTGCATCATTTGCCAAAACTGGCGCATTTCTCTCTTTAACCTTTTCCCTTTAGCTTTCGACTCTGTACTTCTAATGCGCCTGCCTTGAATTTACAACCTTCATTTCCCCCCTCCGCATTCTGCTTCTGCAGAGTTGCCAACTTTCTCTCTCCAACCATGGCTGTCGCAACACCGCTTGAGCTGCCCGCCAAGTTCCTACGGCCTCTCTGGGCCTGGATTGAAGCCACGCCAGTTCATGTTCTCGTCGTCCTCTTGATTGCGCTCATTGCGCTCGCCCTCCTTTCTGTATGCTACTGCCCCGCGCCCCGCGCATTGGAACCGGCTAAGCTGACCTCTTGAAGCTCTTCGCCCTCCTGCACCTCGTCGCGCCAAAGCCTCGCCCAGTCGTCGCGTCGGAAAAAAGATATATCACCAGCCATCCCGAGACCGGCCGTACACATCCTCTACCTCTGCCCTGCTGGTACGACCGCTGGCTCGCCGAGCGCCAGGCCAGCGAGCAGCACATCCAACCCGCCGAAGCCTTCCCAACCCCGGACGCTGGCAGCATCGAACCCGCCGATGTGCGCCTCAGTGTTGTCTTCCCAGCATACAATGAGGAGGCCCGCGTCACCCCGACCCTCGAAGAAGCCATCGCCTATCTCGACAAGCATTTTGGCCGGACTGCGCATGCCAAAGCAGACGTCATTAGCCCGACGACCAAGCGACACGTGCGCAACGCTCCCAAGGGGGATCTGGGAGGCTATGAGATCTTGGTAGTCGATGATGGCAGCAGCGACAAGACGGTAGATGTCGTGCTCCAATTCGCCAAGGACAATGACCTCCATGGCATCCTGAGAGTCATCTCGTTGGAGAAGAACAGAGGCAAGGGCGGAGCTACCACACACGGATTCCGACATGTCAGGGGTGAATACGTGCTATTTGCAGACGCAGATGGTGCATCGCGCTTCAGCGATGTCGGAAAGCTCATCGAAGGATGTGAAGAGGTCGTTGACGGATCGCACCGTGGTGTAGCTATTGGTAGCCGCGCCCATCTCGTCGGCAGTGAGGCTGTTGTCAAGGTAAATGCGACTTCTACCTCATCAAGAGCAGATCTAACACTTTCTAGCGCTCGGCCCTGCGAAACTTCCTCATGCGATCCTTCCATCTCGTCCTCATGATCCTCACGCCTCCCGCGACATCACGCATTCGCGATACTCAATGCGGCTTCAAACTCTTCTCGCGCGCCTCTCTCCCCCACATCATCCCATACATGCACACCGAGGGTTGGATTTTCGACATTGAGATGCTCATGCTCGCCGAGTCGGCTCCCGCCACCCCGGTCCTTGGTAGTGATGGTAGTGTTATCGGCACCAGCCCAGGCATCAAGGTTGCCGAGGTGCCCATTGAGTGGCACGAGGTTGGCGGAAGCAAGCTCAACGTCATCCAGGACAGCATCAAGATGGCTATCGGTCTTGCGGTGCTGAGGGCAAGCTGGATGTTTGGTGTGTACCGGAGAAGGTTGACATGATGGGGCATGGGTGAGTAGACAGACGTAATGATGAATGTGTGCAAAATGGTCATATGAACCACAAGTATATAGAAATAAAAGGCCTTATTTAGAACAGGCAACCCTCACGATCGAGAACAGCATCATCAGGGACATGAGTAAAACAGATAAGCTGCTGCATTAAGATTACTTATAAATCTAGCCCTTGTCTCTCAGACTTGAGCCACAGGCAAATCTGAAGAGAAGTGTATATCTAACAGAAAGCCACACCCACGCTCAACAAACATCTCAGATGCTCAAATGTCTCATAACCGTGCAAGGCGGGGGGGATCATATGTACAGAGGCCCTGGCCCTAGGTAGGTAGGTAGGTATCTAGGGAAATTCAACTTCCATGGCAAACAAAACCCAGCAATGCTCCTCAAACGCCGCAACTCGCACCATATGCTCCCTCTTTTTTAAGTTTCTACACGTCTTTCCTTTTTTTCATGCAGCAGCTTTCTTTCAAAACAAGCCAAAGTCTAAAGCCGAGTTTTTACTGAAAGGTTTCCCGGTACATGATGGGGACAAAGACGATGCACGCCTTCCAGAGGATGAGGACGGCGTCGATGATGGCGAGAGGAGCCTTGAGGATTCCAAACACGCCGCAGCCGACGACGGCGCAGGCGTTGAGCCAGATGGCGAGGAAGGCGACCGAGAAGAAGTGGTAGGCGAGGACGAGGGGGCGCTGGAGGAGGCCACCGAGGAGGGCCACGGGACCGTCAGTTGTGCCGCGCTTGAAGTAGCTGAAACAGCCGTATTGGAGAGCGCGCAGCTGGCGGTCGTTGGCGGCAAAGAGGGAGTAGAGGGCCTGAGCGAGGACGTTGATGATGCCCGTCAGGGGCTTACGCCTCCAGTAGAGCTCATCGAGAGCTTTGTTGATAGCCTTGGGGTCGTCCAGGTTAGACACGCGGTCAGGGTGCAGCAGCTCAGCCAGGAGAACAACATCGTTGAAGGCAACGCTCATGCCACCGCCAGTGAGAGGGTGTCGCATGTTCATGGCATCGCCGAGGAGGATTGCGCCGTTGGAGCGCTGTTTCGTAGGAGGGAGCCAGCTGTTGGGCATGCTGCGGGGGATCTTGCCATCCTCGAGGGCCTTCTCGACGGAGGGTCGGACTGAGGGGGGCAGAGCAGGGAGGACAAAGTTGCGGATGTAGCCACGCACGCCGCCATTCTCAGGCGAGGCCTCGGGGATACCTTGGGGCACGTCGATGAGGGCGCGAGTCTCGTGAGTGCCAATCTGGTAGAGGAGAATAGGGAAAGCATTTCCGATAATGACATGGCCGTGTCCGGGTTCAGGGAGGTCGCAGTCGATAAGCTCGAGAGCGTAAAACTTGGAGCAGACCTTTGGCTTGGACTTGAGAATCTCCTTGCGCCACTTGGAATCGTAGCCGTCGGCGATGATGGTCAACTGGCCAAAGTAATAATCGGACTCCTTTACGCCCGTCTCCTTGTTTGTGGTGCGGCTCTCGACGCCGAGGATCTGATCAGACTGCTCGCCGCGCAGGGTCTTGACGACCTCGGTCTCGACAACAGTGATATTCTCGTGGTTTATACACGAGTTGCGCAGTTTGGTGATGAAGCGGCCGTGGTGGAAACTGCACCCAGCGGGCTTCTTGCCGCTCTTGCTCTGGCCGCCCCAAGCATGTGTGACATTCTTGTTCTCGTCGAGACCGGGATAGGGGACGAGGACCTTTTCGCCGTGGTATAAGACCGTGTAGCCGTAGCAGGGCATGGCATCGATGCCGTCGAGGCAGTGCTTTAGACCAATCTTGTCGAGAGATTCGACACCGCCGGGCTGGAGAAGCTCGCCGACAATGCGGTCGGGCTCCTTGAGCCAGCGCTCGAGGAGGAGGACGGAGCGGCCCTGGTTTGCGAGAGCGTAGGCGATGGTGCAGCCAAAGACACCGGCGCCGACAACAACGACATCGGCTTCATGGTATTGCTCGCGACGACGAGTCTGCGACTCGGCGGTTGTAAGTATCGCAGCCATGATTTCGAGGTGTGAGGCGGGAAACGATAAGTCCTTTGTTCAAGGAGACTGTTCGATTGGCGGTGGGGGGGTCCCTTTTTATCAATCGCGAATCGGGGGGAGGGGAGGCGAGAAATTGGATGGGTTTTCGGATCGCCCCGAAATTAGGAGAAAAGGGTCGTAAGAGGATTACAAGCGAGAGAAAGAGGTAAAAAAGAGTATCCGACGAGGAAGAGAAATGAGGTGTAAATAAAGAGGAAGAGGTAAGGTTTAAAAGAGTCGGTGCCTTTTTTTTTTTTCGTTGAAATTGGCTCCAAGAGGTATATCTCCGAAGTAATCGAGATAAGTTGATGTCGGGAGTCGGGCAGTACCGTTCCGGAATCAATGACGCTCTCTCTGGAGGAAGCACGATCAACGGGTGTGCACAATATGATCACAATCGGATCAATTGATTCAGGAAAATGGGCAATTGAGCCGTTTTAAAAACGTGCAAGAGGACCAAAGACATTAGCGACAACGGGATTATCTCCCCCTCCCTTTTCCACCCGCAATTGGCCGGGCATACGCCGTTTATAAAGGGATCCTCTTTGTCTTCCATGCCAGAACTCCGTGGGATTGATGGCGGGCCTCTTCTGGCCTGTGATGATTTGAGTCGAGTCCAATTAGCCTATGAGCCTTTACTGATTCGCAGACTCTGCCCCATGACCTTCAGGGATCGGGGAGCTTAGGCCAGGGGACCTCGAAGAAGAAAACGAGAACCGTTGACTGATCCATGGCTCGCGTTTCTCACTCCAGGGGCCATTTCGCGCTGTAAGGGCCCTGTAACATGGTCACCCCGCGACGCTGTGCTTCCCCCAACACGTCCTTGACAAATCGCGCCACCGCCCTGACCGCCTAGACTCTACCCAATCAAACTCCCCGACCGCTGCTGCAAATGGTTCGATGAGAAGAGAGGACACCGCCAGGTTCCGGCTGGCGAGCATGTGAAAGTTAAAGGTTGAAGATGCACCAGCCCAGAAAATCGTACGTGGTTCAACGGCACAGGGCAAATTTGCTTCTGCCGGGTCCCGGTATCATTTCGTCGTCGTCGGGCAGAGTCCAGTTAAACAGGAGCCAATTTTTGGACGTCTTTGAGAGCTTGCGAATTGGTCGTCTTTGTGTCCAATCAGTGCTGGGCTGATGACACTCTCACGTACTCGTTCATGATGGCTACACGAATACGCGCGGGGCGGCATTGACTGCTCGGCATTTCAAGTCAAGGGTCGGGTCCTTCTTTGGTTTCAACGGCGTTTGTTGGGAAGGATTCACATGTGAAATCCCACTCTGCTTGATATCTCCTAGTTCAAGAATTGAGGGCACAAGACCACTTTAGCCTCATGGTTGGTCTCATCTCATCCACCCACTCATCCATGATATTCACACGAGACAGACTAAGTACAATGGCTCTTTTACTTCATTTCATTTCGCTTTTATACAAATGGTAGTATGTAGTAGTTACACTTGTAATAAAGTAGTCTCAGACCATGAGAAAAATCTGGGCTCGTCAACGTAGATACCCAGGAAAACGCCTCTAGTGGCATGCGCCATCACAGCACGAGCTCTATATGTCTTCTCAAAACCACGCTCCAGCCAGGCTTTGTCTCTCCAAATATGCCTTCTCCTGCTCGCTCATCTCAGGGGACGGCGTCCTCTCTCTTCTTGGCCTCGATCGCTGTTCCGTTCGAGGGTCCTTGACTCCGTTGCTCTTAACCAGTCCATCATCTTCCTGCCTTGTCTCTTCAGCTTGTATTGTTGTCTCTCGTGAAGTCGTTGCGTCCCGGACAATGCTCCTCTTGGTCTCGGGTGTTTGACGTTCCACTTGAGCATCTGGGAAGAACCCCCCGTCAAATGCTGGCGGCTGTTCCGCCATCCCAAATACACTCACAACCTCCTTCTTTAATGTTTCTCTCTCTTGTCGGTTTGTTGCCCGTAATGACTTGATGTGTTGTAGCGCATCATCGAGGCAAAGTAAGGCTTCCTCTCGCTCTGTGTTGGCAGCTCCATCCCTCGCCTTCCTCCTGGATATCGTCTTGATTGCCAGTTTGATTGACTCCTTGCATTCCTTGCTGGCCTGCCACCAGTCTGACTTTGACGTGAAGGAAGTAACCAGTGATCGGAGGTCTTCGTACTGTCTCTGACCTGTGTAAGCATAGACGAGGCTGGAAAAGTTGAACTTGTTGTATGCCAATTCGCCCATGCCGTTCGTTTCTGCCGCAATCTCGCACACCTTGATCGCAGCCTCCTGCCTGCCCTTTTGCATCAGAACCCGTACAGCCTTGTTGTAAACACTGTCGTGAACACGTTGCCCCTTGCTCAGACTCTCTTGAAGCAGGTTGCCCACATCATCACCGCACTCAAGTCGTGACACCAACATTGGTACCAACGCCCCACTGATGTCATGCTTCTCTTCGTGCGCCTTGCTGATCAGCTCAGATGCTGTGCGAGAATGGGGTCCTTCCAGATGGATGTTGGCAACTACAGCCAGTCGAAGACAGCGTGCTGAACACCCCAGGCCCTTGCTGACAGCCTCTTGATATGTGTTGTAGACACGGCCCCATTCTTCTTGCAGTGCCAGGGTGTTCATGTATTTGAACACTGTCCGTTCGAATATCGGGATCGAGCCACCACACTCGGGCAGTGTTGATACAACGGCATAGCCATCTCCCTGTTCACCTGGCAAGGGCATGTGCAAATCGTGCAAGGCACCGTTGGCCTCGTACCTGGCTAGAAGGGGGTCGTGAAGCCAAGGCCTAAAGGTTTGTAGGTCCTTCAACATGTGTAGCAAGTCCACCCGGGCCAGATTCCAGTATTTGCAGCTTTTGTCGGCAACCTCGTTGAAGAAGATTTGATCCATCTCCAGCCCACCATCCTGGCAGAACTCGAGCCAGGCGACCAACGCCTTAAGATCGCGATTCCGCCCGTGCCTGTCAAGAACTGCAAAGGCAAGAGTCTTGCTCAAAGCCATCCGATGAACTGAGATAAGATCCCGCACAAAGATATCAATCTCTGCTGGTGAGTGATCCTGGCAATAGATTCTGGTCAACCAAGAGAGGACGTTCTGAAACGCAGCTGAGGGCTTGTCCTTGTTGAAAAAGGTATCCAGTTGAGTCCAAACTATGTCCCATAGACCCAATTCAGCATCTCGTACAACGAATCGACCTCGAAGCTTGACGTCCGTTTCAGCCAGCTTGGGTTTCAACTTTTGGAGGCGAGCCAGTCCTTCGGCCGCTGTCGTATCGTCTCCGGCATCCAGGGCAATAAGAGTGAGTCTGCGTCTGATGGCGTACTGCCTGATGGCCGTGAAAGTAGACATACCACACTCTTGCAGTGTGCCGTAAATCTCCTTGACTCGGCTAAAGTCCTTGGTCGTCTTCCAGCAATGAGTGAGAAAACCGGTAACCCACTCGTTCCGATATTTGTATGAGGTTCCCGCTAACCTTTGATCTTGAAGTCGAGAAACCTCCTTGACGAGGTGGCGGACACCTTCCTTGTCGCCAGTTTGTAGGACGCGATCCATGAATGGGACCGCAAGAAGGTAAAGATCCTTGCAAACAGGACTGATCGTATCCAAGATGAGGGGCACATTGCTGTACTCTTGGGAACTTGCTGTGGACTGAAGAAGACGAATGCCCCTTGAGAAGACGGCCTCAGGTTCCTCAGCCCCTGATGCTATCAACTTCTGCAACAGTCTGGCACACTTCTTTTGTTGCTCAACAATCTGACTGCGGGCGAATGCTGGAGCCTCCAATCTGGCAAGGAGAGCGTCCAAATCCCCAAACGGATTATCCGAATCTTTACTGGGGAGCTTCTGTGTAGTTCCTTCAGTGCTTGCATCTTGGCTTCGTGATGGCGGTTTCACACTGGCTGCCTCGGATGATGCATGCTGATGAACGGCATCCAGACTGTCCAGTTCCTGGGCTCGGCGGGCATTTGGTGTCCTTGGTTTCCATCCCGAGTGTGGCAGTTTAGTGTTTGAAAGACTGTCGTCGGCAGAAATCTTCAACAGGGGAGGAATTCGGGTAAAGGAGCTGGTATCCGATATCCTGGAGGATTCTTTTCGAGACACATCCCACTCGTCCCATCTGGTTTGACGCGCCTGGGCCGTATTGCCATCCTGGTTCAGTGTCGACTTGAACCCATCAATTGACTCAACCTCCTTCGATTCCGCCACATCATTCCTTAGGCTGTCTATTCGGCGCCTTCGACGACGAACTGAATTTTTGGGTGCCGGCACAGGGTTGAAGTCATGGGCTATCTCAACTGGAAAGGCTTCCCGTCGGCCGTAGCTCTCAGCCAATCCAGCCGAATTGTGATGTACCCGGGCTGTATGAAGCTTCTTGGCGTTATCGATGGCGGCTCGAGCAATATTCAACCGTCGGCGTCGTTCTTCGGCGAGGATAATGACGGAGCAGGACGTCGTCAGGAGCACGCCGCGGAGAGCGTTGATGACAGCCCTGGAGGGGGCGGGGTTGGGAGACGCCATGTTAGGCGGTCGTCATCTTGGGTCGGACCAGTACTGCCCAACTCCGGCTTCACAGGTCCGTATGCGCGTTCGTTGAAGGGCAATTCGTGTCGTCGGATGTCGCTCAAGATTATTCTCGTGGTGTGATCCACAGGTACCGGTTCTGGGCGACATTGAAGCACTGGGCAGATCGTGACCAATGGAATGACCTCGGGGGCACGGAAGCTGTGTTACCCCGTTGGGGAAGCCTCACGGGCCAACGTTGACCGATCACGTGATATGTGTCATGCATTAGTTAAGCCGACTTACAACGACAGCTGCAAGCTGCTTGCCTTAACGCCGTTAACTCCAGCTTCAGCCCATGATGCTTCATGAAAACGTCCAAATGTGGAGAGCGAAACCGAGGATAGTGGCCTTGTAATGAAACATGCGGAAGAACCCCGCTGTTGGTTGATACGATGCAGCCAGTCTACCCGCTTAACCTCATCCACTAAGAGGGGTGCGTAGTTGGTACCTATCCTTCGCAAAACCTCATCAGTGTAGAGTATTGGATCTCTTTATTTTCTTATATCATACCAATATTGCGGCATAATATTATGATTGAAGTAAGGGAAAGCTCCAATTAGAATCTTTAAAATACCTGTTTAATTCGTATAGTAAGATATAGGCAAACCACCAATGTGCAACTGCCTAAGTGGATGTGTTCCTCTCCTCCCAAAGTCAAAGCGTGATAGCTCGGGGAGATATTCAGCCCGCCATCCGGAACCTGGTCAAGGCTGGGGCGAAACCACCTTCCCATGGCGTCACTATTGGCTGTGGGCGGTGCCAAAGGAAACATCGGGACAACCTGAAGCAACCTGTTAGTGCCCAGGATGCCTTGGCTTCGGAGTTTAGAGGAATCACGGGTAGGACTTAGACAGATCATGGATACCTGAGGAAGCTTAAATACTGCGGGGTGTTTGCAAACGAACATTGATATCACAATCCAAACGATTTGGATCCCACGTCTCATTCGATCGATCCTTGCCTGCAAAAACGGCCAGTGCTACCGGTATAAGTACTGCACCTGCCCTCAGTGATTCACCGCCGACACTTCGACTCAATCCAAACCTCGATACCCTCGAGATCGTCTTTTCTTCTCCCCAAACCAACCTTCGTTAAAATCAATCACCATGGCTCTTCCTATGGCACCACCCCCCAAGAGCCCCTTGGGCCACTACCGACTCTTATCGCCGTCGGCTGCGGTGCGAGTCTCCCCCCTCTGTCTGGGTACCATGAACTTTGGCAATGCCTGGTAAGTTTTAGATAGCGAGCACAAGTACTCATCAATTGACTCTCTCAGGAAGGACTACATGGGAGAATGCGATCAATCAACCACCGAGGCAATTCTTGACTTTTTCTATGAGCAGGTATGAACCCAACATGCACCTCACGCAACAGCAACATACTCACACGATGAAGGGAGGAAACTTTCTTGACACTGCCAACAACTACCATTTCCAGGAGTCTGAGAAATGGGTGGGAGAGTGGATGAAGAAGCGCGGAGTCCGCGATGAGATGGGTTTGTTGCACATGGACTCACATTGACAGACAACTTGTTGACTTTGTTTCCAGTCGTCGCTACCAAGTATACGACCAACTTCCGGGCTGGTCCTAAGGGTCCCAACGTCATGGCCAACTTCACCGGCAACGGCACCAAGAGTCTCGTCACTTCAGTCAACAGCAGCCTGAAGAACCTTCAAACTGACTACATTGATCTGGTAGGTTGTTGGCAAGCAGAACACACGAGTATCAACTGTTAACAATACGACAGCTCTATGTTCACTGGTGGGACTACAGCACCAGTATTCCTGAGTTGATGCAGTCGCTCAACCAACTGGTTCTTTCTGGCAAGGTGTTGTACCTGGGCATCAGTGACACCCCAGCCTGGGTTGTGAGGTAAGTCAAAGGCTCCTCGTCAAGGCGCAACTGCTTACCCCTTTGCAGCAAGGCGAACGAGTACGCTCGCAACAACGGCCTGCGCCAGTTCTCAGTGTACCAAGGCCGCTGGTCCGCGGCTTCTCGAGACTTTGAGCGAGAAATCATCCCAATGTGCAGAGCTGAAGGCATGGGAATTGCCCCTTGGGGTGCCCTCGGTGGCGGCAAGTTCAAGACCGAGGAACAGCGCAAGGCCCAGGAAGGGCGAAAGGTGGAGGCGAGTCAAGGAGAGATCAAGACCAGTCAGGTGCTGGAATCGATCGCTGACCGTAAGAACTCGCTCATCACCAGCGTTGCCCTTGCATATGTGATGCACAAGACACCCTACGTCTTCCCAATCGTGGGCGGCCGAAAGGTTGAACATCTCAGGGGCAACATTGAGGCTCTCACTCTCGAACTCACCGAAGAGGATATCAACGAGATCGACAGTGCCGTCGAATTCGATCCGGGATTCCCTCACAACTTCCTCCACCGTCCCGGACAGGTGATTGGAGGCCAGGATGTTTGGCTGCTCAAGATGGGCGGCACGTTCGACAACGTCCCTCCCCCTAAGGTGAGAGCTCCCAGTCATTGGGTTGATGGAATTCTCTAATAACAAATATCCAGCCTATCTCTCCAGCCAAACGAGGGGAGTAGAGTGCCCGTCTCAAGGCACCTTTTTGGAGATGGGTACCAACCCGATCAATGCTGCCAACATGGCGAGAAAGGAGCGGTGTTTGGGCGAGGAATGTTTGGTAAAGGCCAAGCACCGCGCAAAAGAATGAGGCCGCAAAACTTCTACGAAAGGGGGCTCGATGGAGAATAGCGAACGATGGGGTCAGTGGAGGATGACGGAGGACGACGGCAGAAAATCCCATCTCACTTGCCACAAATTCTTAGGAAGTAGCTCTCGGCTCCTTTTTAATAAAAGTATTGAGAATTACTTATCTCACAATTGATCAGTACCAATAATTTGACCCTCAAGTCCTTGGTGGACTCATTCTCCGAAGTGATTGTCAAGTGTCTAGGAAGGAAAGCGCGGGATAGAAGCCCCTTCCTTCAAGGAAGAGTAGAACGCTCTTGCCGGCTATACCCAGGAATTTGGAAACTCAGCCTTTACCGCCCTTCAGTACTTGTTCCTCACTTTTTCAACGCCTATTGTTCTTCCAAGTTGATGCAATTCGTCTTGTTGCGATACTGTCGACCACCATGGACGAGGAAACGTTGTCAGAGGCAAACAAGCAAACCGATTGTGTACCAGAGACGCCAAAAAGAGCCTCCCACCAACACAATGAGCAGCGCCAGTCGACGCCGAGCATTGCCTCCGACCCTTGCGTGCAAGAGTTGGATGAGGACGACGAGCTCGGCGAAGTTGATGCCGAGAAATCGACTCAAGATGAGTTTGCTTTCATTCGATGGTGCGTTCGACCGAGACGCTACGAGCAATACGCTAATCCGTTTCTCATGTAGTATTCCAGAGACCCCGCCCCCTAGTGTTTCCACGATCTTGGAAGCTGTGGCACGAGAAGGGGAAGAAGGAGAGAACTTACATGTCGACGGACGAGCGGTTGCGAGCAAACACCGGAGGGCAAAGAGGAAGAGGGCGGAACCAATCTTTTCCAGTGAAGAAGACGAACCAACGACGTCCGAGGGTCTAACAAGTATGTGATCTACGCGTACGCTTCCTGGGCCCCAGGTCTGACATGCGGCAGACTACCTAAATGTTGAAGAGAACGAGGTCACGCAGAATGCTTCCCCCAAGAGACAGCAAACAGATCCTCCAGGGTCTTGCCATGAAGCGAAATTGAAGCCTCTACCCCGAGGAGCCCCCCGTATCATCGAAAAGAAGGGGAGGTACACAATCCACAGAGGCATCCGCATTCGAGATTACAAGGTCCCAAGTCCCGATTCTTCATACCTTCCACCACCCAGTAGCCCCGAGTTTCAGTGTCGCGATGGCTTTGATGCGAACGAGGCATCGCTCGGATACCCTCGGCCAATGAACCCGCGAGTGCAAGAAATCGGAGACTTGGAGACGACAGATCCAGATCACACAATGCCTGGGAGAGAAGGGAATCAACTGAGCAGAAGCCCATCACTCGGAACACGAAGAGAGGGATGAATCTGTATCGAATCTGATTAATTCCTGTACTTATCACGACTAAACAAGGGAGGCGTTCAAATACTCACAAGTGTAATGCCAGTCCGTACAGGGTATCTAAATGGCACACCCCCTAGGTTTAAGACTACCTTGAATTACAAGCAAACGAAGCTCTGTACTCGCCCCAACGCCTTTTCATATGAGATCGCCCTCCATTTGACATTGTCCGTCTATTTAGCTCCCTTGCCCTTGGCCTCATTCTCTCCAAGCTCACGAATCAGAACCGCTGTCTGGCCCGCTCCGTTGTAGTCCTCCTGGCCAGTCTCGAAGCCTGGGCACACGCCAACAGCGAGATACTTGCCGTCGCTTGAGAAAGCAAGGGCAGCGACGCTGTTGGGGAACTTTTGGTACTGTTTTAGTCGACGCTTGGCCTCGGCATCCCACAGCGCAGCAGTTCCGTCACCACCGCCAGAGGCAAAGGTTCCGTGGACCGGGTGGAAAGCCAGCGCGTTGACGGGATACACGATATCGCCATCTCCGTCGGGCGCTGCCTGTCTATGGCACTTGAAAGCGTACTTGCGCGCCTGCGACTCAGCAGTATCCTCGAACCACTCGACCGCAACTCGGCCCTCGATACTACTTGTAGCGTATCCGGCGTCATTGGGCATGCAAGATACCGCCCGCGTAAGATATCGAAGAGAAGATTCCCTCTGCTGCCATGGCTGAAGATCTGTCGACCCGGTCACAAACAGGTCGGCAATGGTCTTGAGGTCGTAAATGTTGATTACTCGGCCAGCCATCGCAACGACAACCTTGGTCGGGCTGGCTGCCAGCGCATGGGGCTTTCCGGGGAGGGAGACTCGAATAGGGGCGCTCGAGGGGTCGGCAAGGTTGTGAAGGTTGAGACTACAGTCCCATGACGCGGAAACGAGAATGGCTGATCACAAGTTAGCTTGAGTCGAGCTGAGGCGGGAATGTGACTTACAATGCGTCGGGCTGTATGCTACACAGCGAACTGGCGCAGCATGCTTGCTCAGCTCAGTCTTTTCGCCAGTCTCCAAGTTGATCCTGTTCACTCCAATCAGCTCTGCATCCTGATGCGCGCGCAGTCGCAAACCACCCACCTGTTTACAACCCAGTCCATGCCAGCGGTAAAGGCTTCATTGTCGCCAGCGCCAAAACAGACATCCAGAACAGGCGCCCGGTGCTCGTACGTGTTGACAAGGGTCGCTTCTCCCGCTCCGCCTGCGATATCATAACAGTAAACCTTCTTGTCCCACGACGAGACGAGGAGCTTTGTCCCAGAGGACGGCGCGAAGGCGATTGACGACACGGCGTCGCCCGGGGCCGGGGAGAGTTCGTACTGGGTCGCTGTAGCTTTGTTAGACATGCCTTGGACTAATTCTGCGATGTAGGCGCGTAGAAACTTACCGGGAGCCATGTTTGTTTGCGCTCTTGACGATGTTGGGGTTTGGAGCTTGGAGAGTGCCTCGACTGTTTTGAAGCTCGGGTGGACTTCGGGCCGCTTGGTTGATGGTACCTGCAGGGGCCACACCACATGGATGAACTTGATGCGGAACGAGAGATGAGAAACACCATGAATGAGGTTTCATGATGAAGTCAATTAAACGATTTGAAAGGTTCATGGTGATTTTACATTGTACAAGTCTATAGGTTTTCCGTATCTTACACCGTTCTTTCAAATGCCACATGATTTGAGGGACCATCTTACTCGAGCGGACGCTCATGCTCCCACCATCGAATTGGGCCAAATTTGCGGAACGGATAGACAATGTGCGTAACCCTGCCTGTGAGGAGCTGCTTCGACACGGGCCCATACGTGTTGCTGTCGAGACTCGATCCAGGTGGACCATCACCCTCAACCCAGACATGGCCCTGTGGTACTCGCACTGTTGGCAGCGGATGCGGTGCCTTTGTCCTGACCACGTCGTTTTCGAGGGCCACGACTCTCTTGACTGCGATGACTTCAGGATGAAGCGGGCTCCTTTTAAATAGAAGATCAGCTCAAATCCTTTTATTTTCCTTGAAATTATGCCTACCGCAGCGTCACAACCATGCCCCTCTCGATGCCCTCATGTGGCGACCACTTCCAGTTCAGGATCACGTCCCTCCGCAGCGTCGAGTCCTTGTCGTCGTTTATGAGCGGGTACATGGACGCGCCGTCGACGACGGTCAGCTCGGCGACGTGCAGGTTGAACATGGCGATGACGGGGATCCAGGTTGCGAAGCCGAACAGCCTCCAGGTGGTTGACCCGACGACTCCCCCGCCTCTGAACCGCGCCCAGGCTGAGCCGAAAGCCATTTCGGTCGCCCTCGTTTATCTCTGGGTTTGGGGGTTAGAGATGTTCGACATTTCTCTGCGAAATCAAGAAACGTCGTGATGCTGGCTTAGAAATTCAATGTCATGGGTCAAGTTGAGGTTGCAAGTATAGAAATTCCCAGGCCTGGGCGTCTAAACCCTTCTCGGCTAGCGCCAACCGCAATCAAAGCACCTCTCTCCAGACGAGAACCTCCTGAATCCTCACAACCAACGTCACCTTCAGATGGATGCCTTCACATTACGGGGTCATGTCTTTCATTTTCAACTATAAACCAAGCACTTTCACTGTTGGCAATCCTAGCTAACCATGTCACCCCGGGGCCTTGGCTACCATTGAACTGCTCGTTGACAACGCCGTTTCAGACGCCTACTTCCCACCCCTCTCGGAATAACTACATGAAAGTCGGAACTTTTTGTGATGCTTCTGCAGCCCAGGCACATGCTTTCTTTCAGCTTCCCAGGCCGCCTCTAATTACACCGTTTTCCCCTCGTCCGACGACCCCGTCGTGGGGTTCACCCTGGGGCGGCCTTGGCTGTCCTGCCGGCTCAGCCCGCCCCGGAGAGGCTTCGTCTGGCCATGACCTAAATGGTCTCAGGGATGTTGTCGTCGCTGTCGCTCATGCTCTCGTCTCCGCTGACCTCAGCATTCTCACGCTCGCGCTTCTCCATCAGTGCTTGGAGCTCGGCATCATCGCTCTCGGTGACAGCCTTGGGCTCCATCTTGACCACCAGGTTACCGCCAGATCCCTCGATGCTCTTTCGGATGTCGACGATGGCCTCCTCCAGGCGTGTGATACCAACGGCCTTGTCCAAGCATGTGCTGGTCAGGACGTAGAGGGGGGGAGAAACCAGCTTGACCTTGACCTGGGTCTCCTCGGTGTTGTTGGCCTCAGCGGTGCGCAGAGCAGTCTTGACGGCATCGATACCCTCGTAACCAAAGCAGGTGACCTCGATATCGGCTCGGACCTTGGTAGGCTGAGGGGTGAGTCGCTTGGTGATGTAGGTCTTGAGCTCCTCGGTGACGGGCTCGCTGGGGAAGGTGATATCGTTCCACACCTCGGGGTTGCTGCTCATAATTAGCATCTACGCCCATCATTCGAGAACACATGGACTAACGTGATAGAGAGCTTGAAAGCGTCGATGGCGTGGCCGTACTTCTTGTTCAGAGGCCAGGCTATGCTCTCATAGAGGGTCTCGATGGGGGTCTGGGTCTTCTCTGCAACGTGTCGCATGATGGAGTGGACCATCTTGCCCTTGTTGTATCGCTCCTCGCACTTGCCGATATCCTCGGGGGAAACTCGTCGCTTCGACAGATCGATATATCCTGCGCCAACGTCAATCTCCATGCTGGAAGCGCCCGGCCTGGCTGCAATGCGTACCCTTCTCCTTGTCCACACGGAGCACCACGACGACCTCATTGCGGCCAACCCGAATGAGCTTTTGAATACTTCTGATACGTCGTCGCGAAAGCTCGGAGAGCAAGATCATGCCATCGATGTTGTCGTACTCCAGGAGCTTAACATAGGCACCCATCTCGGCGATCTGTGATCGGTCAGAGGGAGTGTTCCGGGCAGACCAGGCTGCTACTGACCTGCTTGACATTGACCATGACAAAGCTGTCAATCTCCGGATACTTCTCCTCGTAAAAACGGCAGTTTGTTAACGACATCTTGGCGGTGTTGTCGAGGAATCAGTGTTAGGTAGGGTCGGGTTCTCGAAGTGAGGTGGGGTTTTCGAACTCTGGCGGCGTCGCACGCACGCGAGTCGGGGGTCGAAAAAAATGTCGAAAAAACCTGATGTGATTCTCGGTCGGTTTGCGATGGTATCGACGCGTGGATGGTCGATTATCTCGATGCTAGGCCGTAAATCGTGCTGCAGGTGTGGTTGTTAAGGGAAGAGTCATAATTTTGACATTTTACAGGCAGTGATGATGGTGGGGTGTGGCGGGGTAAACGCCGGCTGAACGCCAATCCGAGCTTGAAACTGGTGACTTTTGTTCTTGGCCTGTGGAGGTGTTTCGACTTGTAGATTGGTGAGATGATGATGAGATATTGTTATTGATGCTATCATATGAACTGAATTCGTAGTCTCTTGCAAGTCTTGGGTTGTATTAACATCCATGTTCTCTTTGTCTGAATCTGAAGTGGGCTACCATGTCCACTGGTGGAATAAAAGAAGAGCTCACTATTAAGCAGAGAAACTTGTGGTTCTCACTTATATGCCTGCATTTCATCTCATGAGTTGATAAAATTCAAGTATCCATACATATATGATGAGATTCTCCTTTATGAATTATTAGTATTAACATCATAATCTCATCAACTCTCTCCATAGAGCGCAGTTCCATCACCAGGATTTCGGTGTTTTCTGTCCGCCACTGGCACGCCACTCATGGACAGCCGGAAATCCAGCGCACCTCGGGCGGCGCAAAGAATTTCACAGCCCGAGACCCTACGTCAACGGATGCGCTGGATTTCCGGCTGCCCATGAAGCGTGGTCCAATCATGCCCCGGCAAACCGCTGAAAGACGCCACTGAACAAGCCCGCTACGGCCAATTGCCCAGCTGTCGGGGACCGGCAGAGCAGCCGCAATTCGAGATTGGATCTAAACCAACAAAATTCTCGACAAATCCACGCGACATCGCCGACTCTTATCTCTCCCTCTGCGCACCCTGCGACGCCCGGCCCTCTCTCCTTTGCCAGCACCGCAACAGAGTGATCCCTCGTCTTTCTCCTTCACTCCTTCCTGGGATCCTCTCCCTTTTATTCTGGGCTGCTCCGTCCTTGGCCGTGACTCGAGTTGCGCTGAGTTGCGAGCCCACCCCCAGTCCTCGACCCTCCGATTTCTTCCCCGGACATGCCCTTAGGTCTCCAACAGGACTCTGACCTCGTCTTCGCCCCCTCCTCGACGACGACAGCCACCACGACGACCAACGGATCGACGACGTCCGCAAGCGACTTTGCGCCCTCCCCGGAGCATCGCCATGCCGGTTGGACGGGCCGTCGCTCGGATAGCAGTAGTGCCGGGCTCGCAACTCAACAGAACATGACCAACCAGGAAGATGTCGAGGCTGAGGGCCGACCGCCATATCTCCATGTACGTTTTCACCACGGGCATTCATTACACAGCGCCAATCGTTTCCGAACCGTCCGATTTCGAGCTGCGCTAACACGGGGCCGCAATGCCAGGCCATGATTGCGGGTGGCATCGGAGGATCGACCGGCGATTTGTTGATGCACTCTCTCGACACCGTAAAGACAAGACAGCAGGGCGACCCTCACGTTCCGTCGAAATACACGTCGCTGGGACAGTCCTACTACACCATATGGAGGCAAGAAGGTATACGGCGGGGTCTGTACGGTGGCTGGATACCTGCGCTCGGAGGTTCATTCCCCGGCACCGTAATGTTCTTTGGCACATATGAATGGAGCAAGCGATTCCTCATAGATCATGGCGTGCAGCAGCATCTTTCCTATCTATCAGCAGGTATAATGGCTTCTACAAGACTCAATTGCTCCGGCAGAGCGCTAACAAATCTCGGCAGGCTTCCTTGGAGATTTAGCCGCCTCCATCGTCTACGTCCCATCCGAGGTTCTAAAAACCCGACTTCAGCTCCAGGGCCGTTACAACAACCCCCATTTCATATCGGGTTACAACTACCGAGGTACTCTCGACGCTGCCCGCACCATTGTCCGTTCTGAGGGTATTCCTGCTCTCTTTTACGGCTACAAGGCCACCCTCTACCGTGATCTGCCCTTCTCGGCCCTCCAGTTCATGTTCTGGGAACAATTCACCACATGGGCCCGCAAGTACAAGCAGAGCCGTGATATTGGGGTGCCCCTCGAACTCCTCACTGGCGCTGCGGCTGGTGGCCTTGCCGGTGTCATCACTTGCCCCCTCGATGTCGTCAAGACACGGCTTCAAACCCAAGTCAACACTCCAGCCGAGGCCCGGGCCTCCAAGGATCACCACGCTTCATCCCAGGTCCGACACATCTCAACATCTTCTCCAAACACTCACCGACCGCGACCCGGCGCCATCGCCCTGGAGACCTCATCCGTCTTCACCGGCCTACGAGTCATCTATCGCACCGAAGGTGTGGCAGGTTGGTTCCGCGGCGTCGGACCGCGCGGTGTATGGACATTTATTCAGAGCGGCTGCATGCTGTTCTTGTACCAACGAATCCTTCGACAGCTCGAGGTTCTGATGCCCCTTGAGCACGAAGAAATGTAGACATCTCCACACATACACATACACTCTTGCACCTTTTTTACGCCCCTACCCTTTCTTCATACCTTGTCGTTATTCTGCATGATTTGGCATTTATTTGCACCCGCTCGAAACGGTCAAGATGTCTCCCCGTTCCCCCTTTCATTCCATAGAGGAGAAGCTCACCCTTTGAAAACAAGAAGACATGAATTGTGATGGCCATATATGTACGGATAGAGAAAGAGACGCACGTGGCTGTGGGCAGCCGTCATTGTTGGGCGTTGGGAAATAGAAGGGACTGGCTGATCACATATATCAGAACAACACGGTCATAGAGATAGAGAGCGCCAAGAATAAAGCCTCTCGATTGACTTTGCAAATATGAGATTATGCTCGGATGGTTCATGATATCGTGACTATTCTAACGGGTTCCTTGTTGCTGCGAAAGAGAGGTTGAGCGAACCTCCATGTAAAACTTGAAATGCATCTCGCTATATGCCTTGGGTATAGAACAAAACTCCTAAAAGAAGAAAACAGTATAGGGCAGGAAGCAAATGCCATGATTGTGATAACCGCCCCCCAACGATATCCACCCCAATATTAAGCGTCCGGGTCACTCTCTGACAGGCAAGGCAACTCTTCAAAGTCGCCAACACGAGTACGCAGTTCATCTCGCGCCAGGCACACGGCGATGGCGATGGTCAGGGCATTCCAGACGCTCTGGTTCTCCTCCTGGAAGTCGATCTGGACCTGAAAACTGACATAGGCGTCTGAACCTTTCGAGGAATCGGTCGTGAGGAGGAGAACGGAAGTGTTGAGAATGACGAGGCCGTATACGACGGGCGGATGGCGACGGTAGGTGTATTTGGGTGGTGTTTGTGGCTCGACCGGGGATGGAGGAGAGAGTGAACGTGTGGGTGACGCTTCTCTTGAAGGGGTCTTGGCTTGAGCTGGAGGCCTTGTGGATTTCTTCGTCTCGGCGGGCTTCTGTCTGTCCTTCTCTCGACGAGGTTCAACCACCTTCATGCGTCCCTTTTTGTGATATTGAATCAACTTGTCGACATCAACACCACCAATGCGTGGGCTCTCAAGTTCTGGCTCAACCTTGACCTTGCCACCAGGACATGGCGTTGCGGGCGAGAGTTCGCTGATACAAAGATGCGAATTCCGCCGGATCTCAGTGGATGCTGACCATCTTCCCATCGCTGGCGAACAATCATCGGGCTCAACCTTGATCATGGGGGAGGCCATGATGCTCGGCTTAAGCACATCCCAGAACTGCGGATTTGAATCCTCTCTGAGAAACTCACGCTGTAGCTTGGCGAGGGATCTCATACGGCCCTGGATGTATTCTGTGATGTCGTACTCGGACATGGTCGTGTCGACGACTTCAGTCATGATGTTTGGCACTATGCGGAGGTGGGCGTAGTCGGCATCCTGGGCTGCCCAGCTGATGTACTTGTCGAGTTCCCGCTTGATGAGGTGCGAGACCTTTCTCCGAAGGCCACTCTGGATACTGACCCTCGCCTTTGCGGTGAGATCGATCAACCGGGTGAGTGCCAAGGTTGCTATGCTATGTCAGAGGTATCCAGCAATACTCGCAAGGAGATGCTCACCTCGAAAGTCCTTGGAGTGGGCATAGATGATAGGAGGGAAGTCGTCCGAAGTCTTGAATATGACATCCGACAGGGGGACACCACGCAAGTCGACATCCCAGGTTGGAGGCAGCATCGGAAGGTCCTGTCGCATGAAGAGAATCTCAAAGAGTCGCTCCTCAGCAGGAGCCCAGCTGCTGGCGCCAGGATATCGTTCCTTTTCCTGCTTCATCTCTGCCTCTAGACTCTTGAGATAATAGCTGTCGTTCTCTTCGGAGAGAAAGCTGAGTTGAGCGTCCAGACAGAAGCTCGGCGATCTCGACATCTTGTATATATCGCCGTCACTGTCGTGGTCATGATGTTTGCCGTGACTCAAAGAGTCCTTTGTATTAGTCGCGCCTTGCATCTTGGATGTGGTGATATCATGGGGGTTGGTGAAACGTAAAGGTGATCTCCGGGTTTCTCCTCTTTTTTGGTGAGGGGAAAGAAAGTGAAGCCTGATGTCGCGGAGCGGGAAGTGCAACTACTTCACTGCCAGCAGCTGATGAACGCCGGCAACACAGAGGCACATCCCCTGAAAGAGCGCAAACAGCCAATGACTCGAGCTAATTAATGCAAACACATTTCATATAGAGTAATAATCACTTATATAGCTAAATTCCGTTATTTAATACAAATCTCTACCACTATTTGCATCAAAGTGAAGATATCGTCATCTCGAGTGTCGTGTAAGTTGGGGTGTGCGCATATTCATTCCCCATCGCACACCTCGGAAATTCTATTCTGCCGCTGAAGCCAATCAGAAGCCAATCAGAAGCCAATCGTCGAAATTCTTCACGACCAAGATCAACCGTCGTGACAACCTCATATTCCCTGGGCTCAACGACGACCATGGCCGAGGTAGCAAAGACGGTGGCCCGCCAATTGCCCGGCTTCAAGCTGGGACAGAAGCAGGTCTTTCTGTCAGTCGACCCCAATTGCCTCCCATTGACTCTCCTAACCTCGCATACAGGCCCAACCATGTAATCACATTTCTTCGAAAGGACTTCCTCCCCCCCAACGAGGCCACCTTCAAGGTGCCCCTGCGGTTCACGAAATTCGATCTTCGAGACTATCTCTGGAACCTTTACAATGTCGAGGTCACAAAGGTCCGGTCGTACGTCAAGCCGCAACCCCTCACCCAGCGCAACTCGCACTCGCGCTCGTGGTACCGCCCGCAGCCCCTCAAGATCATGACGGTCGAGCTGGCCAAGCCCTTCCAATGGCCCGAGGTTCCCGAGGACAAGCAAGCCTGGAGCAACCAGTTGTGGCAGATGCGAGAGGATCTCATGGACAAGCGAAACGACGAGCACATCCAGCGCCAGAAATTCCAGATCGGATTGAAGAGCAAGGAGCCCTGGACCAAAGAGAGACAGGCGCTGTCGGATGTGGCAAAGAAGTACTTGTCGGGCGAGGAGAAGTGGTCCAACGACGTTGTTCTTGACCCCAAATGGGACAAGATCTTGGAAAAGAAGGACACAACGCCTGCGCAAAAGGAGGCTTGAGCGGTCTATCGGAGAGAGATATCACAGCGGATGACTGACGGCAGTACACTGCTAATGAGATGATGATTCGGAGCCACAGGGAAGGAAGCCTCTGTAGGATACCCGGGCACCAGAGATGTACATTATTGTAACTAGTCTTGAACGGCAAAGGATGTTGGCGGGTCAAAATTATGAGTGCAAATAGACGCTGAATCTCCTGCAAGTTTACATGCCCTCTGTCTCTCTCCAGTGCTCAGGCTGTTGGAAGCGCAACACCTCGTCTCCCCAGCTCCACCAACCAGCAGTCAAGTTGCGGGCAAAGATCTCAAGGCCGAGAAAGCCTTCGCCGAGGATATCTTGGAAAAGGCCTCGCAGGTTCGGCTTGCGTGAGTGAACGTCGGGAACTGCAACAATGACTTTGGAGTTGAGAGCACTAGGCTTCTTACCACCGATCCGCTTCGCGATGACGAGCTTCTCCCACGGCTTCCTCCACGCCGAGTCAACATCGTAGAGCGGCTCGCCCGAAGCGGCAACCTTAAGCCATGTCCACTCGGTCACAAGCTCAAGGCCCCAGGCAGCAAGCAGACCAGTTGGAGAAGTCAGGAAGGCTTGGATGCTAGGCTTGTTAGTGATCCAGACAGCAACTAGTCCATCCGGCGCGAGGTGCGATGCCAGAGGAATGTGTAGCAAGAGACTGCGCATGTCATCGAGATTCCGCACAGTAGCATACTTGTCCGTCTTTCTCCTCGCAGACCGGTTTGGCCAGGGAGGATCCAGAACGACAAGGTTGAACAAGGGAGCTGACATGTGAAAGGAATCACAAAGAGCCTCGATAGAGCCATGAAGAGGCTCGGCTTTCTCTGGCAGCAGAGGCGGCAGAGCGGATATTAACGGGGCCTGGGGTTGAAGGATACGGGGGCGGTGGAAGGGCCCGGGATACGATACAGCCAGGTCCTGCAGGGCGCTACTAACAGCAGCAGCAGTCATGAGCTCAGCGAGCTGGGCGGCGGGAGACGCGACAGCCGACGGATCATCTCGGCCGTGCCGGGGCTCCGGGGTTGGATACGGAGCTGCGGGGGGTTCTGCGGAGACGATGCGACGGCGGGGGACTTGAGATGGGAGAACCTGGCTCTCCTCCAAGGACGAGGGTATGTCAATGACGACAAGGCTCTTGCTTGGGTTCTCAAAGAGAACAGACGATGGTCGGCAGTTGTCGCTGCTCCCCTGGCACTCTGTGGCCATTGCTCTCTCTGTCGGGTAATAGATTGGAGGTTTTGTTCCTGAGGCTTGGCTTGACCGCGGCTGATGTTGGGGAATTTGCGGGCATACTCGGCAAACCTCGGCTCGGTCATTGGTTACCGGAACCGTTTATCCAATGCCCTGTGAACCCTTGACTTTCAGTGGGTTGGTTCACTAAGGCGCCTGGTGATGAACCCCCGGGCCCCCAGGTTTCTTTGCTTCTGGGGATTTTGTTCCGCTGCGTGACCACCTACGATTTGTGGGGGAAGGCCCCTCGGCCACTCAACGGCCCCTGACCACTAAGCGTCGGTTTAATGACGTCTCCTGCCGCTGACAGCCGGGGAAATTCTGCCGCAGCACCAGGGCCATCTCCAAAAACCTCTATCCCGTGCCGTCTCCGAGTCCGTCCATTCCCCGCAACCCGGAAAAGATCCTTTCCTCCTACAACCTCGACCCGTCAACAGGAGCATTTGCTCTCGAGAATATTCTCTCTAATCGATTCTACCGCGGAATGTCTCTTCGATAGGCGTTGAATTCGTTCACCAAAGCCAGCCACGTGCTGCTCGATCCGAGGGGGAATGTCCTCCGCTGACGCCGCTCACATGGAGCACGCTCCAGTGTCCGATCTTGCGCGAAACGCCAAAGACCAGGGCCATGGCTCCGCTGAGGGCTTCAACAAGGCGCGGAAGCAGTCTCCTCCCGTGTGCCCTACAGACGACGAGGCGGTGACCCCCAAGCGCAAGACGCAGACTCTGGACTATGTCTGGAGATCTGGAGTTGCGGGCGGCTTTGCCGGATCTGCTGTGAGTACAAAGCCGCGCGATACAATCAATCACTCTGTGTGCAGTGATCGCTGACTTTTCTGTAGGCCAAAACCGTCGTCGCGCCTCTTGATCGAGTCAAAATTCTGTTTCAGGCCAGCAATCCCTTGTTCGCCAAATATACCGGTTCTTGGTTTGGCGTCGCAAAGGCCATGAAGGATATCTACCACTATGAGGGCGCCATGGGCCTCTACCGTGGACACTCTGCGACTCTCCTACGAATCTTTCCCTACGCTGGTATCAAATTCCTCGCATATGAACAAATCCGGACCATCATTATACCCCGAAAATCACACGAGACACCGATGAGAAGACTACTCAGTGGAAGTCTGGCGGGTGTGACGTCCGTCTTCTTCACGTATCCCCTAGAGGTCGTCCGAGTACGACTAGCCTTCGAGACCAAGCGCGAGGGCCGCTCTTCTCTCACTTCGATATGCCGTCAGATCTACAATGAACAACCCGTGCAAAAATCTACGACCGCCAGGCTACCCAACGCCCCTGCACCTGTATCAGCCACTGCGGAGGCGGCTGCAGCGACAGTGCAGTCCATTGCACCTCGGGCAGGACTAGTCAACTTCTATAGAGGATTTACCCCTACTGTGCTAGGCATGATCCCGTACGCTGGTATGTCCTTTTTGACACACGACACCGTGGGAGATATCATGCGCTCTCCGGCCTTTGCGCAGTACACGACGCTACCAAAGAAGGCGAACCACCCCCCGGGAAAGCCAGCTCCTCTGCGGTCATGGGCAGAGCTCTGCTCTGGAGGTATCGCGGGCCTAATCTCACAAACTTCATCCTACCCGCTCGAGGTGATCAGGCGACGGATGCAAGTTGGCGGAGCCGTTGGTGACGGTAGACGGCTACGGATCGGCGAGACGGCCGCCATGATCTTCCGGGAGAGAGGCATCCCCGGCTTCTTTGTTGGTCTGACCATCGGATACGTCAAGGTCATCCCTATGGTGGCCATTAGTTTCTACACGTACGAACGCATGAAGCTCGTGTTGGGTATATAAGTGGTTTGGGCAAAGGGAGGTTATCCCGGCTGGCGTTGATGGAGTCATTGTGCGGTACGGCGTGCAAACATATACCTCTTGGGGAGGTCTTTGATGATTTGGGAACGGTTGAGTGTACACGGGTAGACGCGCTGTCCAATGTGTTATTTCAGTATTATTATCCTCTCTTACCACTTGCTCCTGGGTAGATACTTGTGACGGTTGGGGTATGTCGGGTATGGGCTATGGGCACAGCCTTGGCTGTCTGATATATGATCTCTCTGGCCTGGTTATGGTCATGATCAACTACAGCAGCTAGTGGCAGAAGAGATGAGTTATGGCAGAGGAATGTCAGTTGGCAACTTGGACATTTCAGTTTTCAAGTTGATGAATAGAACAAGGACGAGGTCTTGCAGTTCGTAGATCCTGCGGTTCATAGAGCACATTTACAACTTCCACCATAGACACCATGATCATGATGCCTAAGCAACCATGCATCACACGGCTTTTCTTCAACTCTGGCATCATATCACCTGGTAATTCAATGAGGCTATTCAATGACATGACGTTATCCATGACAACCCTTTCAACACACCCTTGTTGCATCGATTCTTCAGCATCCAAGTTACATATCATATTGCGTCAGATGCTCATGCCCCTTGTCGATCAATGTCTCGTTTCTTTAACGGCTAGAGTTGAACCAAGGCCTGGACGAACAAAGTTTCAGGCGACGATCAAATATCCCCATTCAATGTCCGGGTCGTAGCTTTACTCGTTTCGTAGCGAGCTGCGCCCTGGATGACGGTGTCCGTTCGCCACGCCTTGAACAGACGGAGGCGGAGGGCTCCGCGTGAAACGGGCTTCCTCCAGAGCTTCTCGAAGTCTTACTCCTTCTGGAAAGCCCGCCCGTCTGAGTCGGATATTACTCAGCTCGAGCGGGCCCAACCCAAAGGCCGCGGGCGGCGGGCGATCGACAAGTCCAAAGGTGATGAACTGGTGGCCCCCGAGAAAAAGCGTCCATGTGCTCGGCGCCGTTGGAGAGGCTAATGCGCTTTGTCTTGGCCCCCCGGGTAAGGGATTTCGCACGTGCCCACATGGTTTCCCTTCCCCCCTCCCATCAATTTCCTAGTTGAGAGGAGAAAAAAAAGGAAGTTGTACTGTAGGGGCGGAGGGAGTGGACGTAGGCTGATGGGCTTAAGCGTCTGAGTGGGTGAAAACGGCCGGGCTTCTAGAATCAATTGGTGCTTGTACACGACAAGTATACGGTACTTGAGAGGGAGATTGGACGTGGGATTTCCCTGTGAATTATGTAAATGACCCGAGGATGCCATTGATTTGAGAAACGCCTCGCGCTTGGCGGTAAGAGGCTTGGAGGTGCATGTCTCGCCAGGGGGAGGATTGGAATAGGATGGCTCGGAGGGATATTATGCTTGCTGATCATGACGAACATGTCATGAAGCTCTGGTTGTGGACATGGCGAAGTTGGAATATTACTCATCACCACCAAATTACGGTTCATCTGCGTCAATCAAACGAGGGCAACTCTCACTTCTCACGTCGCACAGCCAAGAAAGTATCAATTAGCAAAAACCCGCAATGACACCGGAAATGCTCCTTCCACCCCCTCACCAACAAGGTTCACCTGATCAATCAGTAAGAGAAGAATGAGTCAATGGACATTTGGAATCAACTAACCCTAATGTCCAACTCTTACCCTACAGCAACTCGGATATCACGGGTGTTGCGGCATACCGCGGAGAAGCTTCAAGGAAGAATTCACCAAAACGGGAATGACGGCGACGTTTTAATTGCCGTAAATGCTTTAAAATCAAATTGCCCAATTAGATCATGCATCCCGTATGCAGTAGAAAATGCGACGTTGAATTCAAGGTCAGAAGCCAAAGCGAGGTGAGAATTCTCGCTTATGATTGGCTGCTCACCGAGTTGACCTATGCGGCTCTGAGAGCTCCCAAGGTGAGCTTCCCAAAAACGCAAAGCCTCAGCCTTTCATCTTCAGCTTGCACCGACCTCAACCTTCACATCAAACAGCAACATCGCCAAACACGCCGTCATAATTCGACAATCGCTTGCTACTCGACTCAATACACGCAGCCTAGCTTTTTAATCCTCGTTGTAATAAACCTCCTGCTCACGCGCTCAACTTCACCCATCATGGCGTCCGCCGCCGACCTCGACGGCCTCGTCCTCCTGCGACAGTCCATCTCCTCGAAAGCGCCTTTCATCCCAAGAGCATCCGCAGATGTCTCGGCCGACGCCTCAGCGCCAGCGGTTCCTCTCTCACAGGCTACGCACCTGTGCTTCCCCGACCGGAGCGTCGCCGTCCCCATCGATAGCCCGACGCGCTTCGTGTCGCACGACAAGCCTGTCGACCTGCGCAGCATCTACTTTGCCTGGTTGAACCGCGAAGTCGCCATCCCCGAGTACAATGCGTCGGCTACCAAGCTCAACGATGAGCTCGCCGCCGCTGGTGGTGCTGGCAAGGTCCAGAACCTGGGCTTCATCGAGCGACTGGATCTGATTACCTGGCTTGAGGGCGCCAGTGAGGAAAGCGAGTACATCAAGCCCGTCGCTGGCGACAAAGATGCTGCGGCTGCTGGCGCGACTACAACGGCAAAGACGGGCGCCGTGTCATCGGCCGCGCAGGCGCGATCAGGTCGCGGTACCATGGACCCCAGACTGGCTGGTATTTACAACGGCGAGCGACGTATGGGCGATCGCAACACGGTTCTCAGGGGCATCAAGCCCACAGTATGTGTTTCTTCTATCCTATGAGATATCTTTAAGCCTTGTCTGACTCTCGCAGGACTTCTCCCATGTGCGCAAGCTTGCTGTGCCCTTCATCCAGAAGAAGGCCCAATCCAGTTCTTCCAGCATCCCAACCAACCCTTCTCTCGCGCTCAACCAAAAAGTTCCCACACGGCGACCAGACCCTATCATCCTTCTATCTCCCTCCGCATCCTCTCTCCTCCGTCTCTCCAATGCGCGATCCTTCCTCGAGGATGGCAAGTTCACCCCTCCTGATGCTGGAGGCTCCACGGCCACTATGCTCCACGTCCAGCGTACTATCCGCGCTGTGGATCCAAACCGCCCAATGCGCTTCATCCTAGTCGAGGGCTCAGAACAGTTCAAGCCTGAGTACTGGAACCGCATCGTCGCCGTCTTCACGACGGGCCAGACGTGGCAGTTCAAGAACTACAAGTGGCATGACCCTGATGAGCTATTCAAGCACACACTCGGCATCTTTGTTGGCTGGCGAGGCGACCAGGCCCCGGATAACATCCGCGGCTGGGGCCATCGCGTGCTGTCAACGGGTATCGACCGTTGGCGCGGCGAGGGTCACGATGCCTCTCGCTTCCGTGACAAGGAGATTGTGGAACACATCTGGCGCGCCATCGAGGATAACATGCGGGCTCGGGGTTGGAGAAAGGACAGGGCTCCTGCTGCGCTATAAGCTGACATTGTTGTAATTTACGATTGGTACTTGGACATTTGCTGTCGAGATGGATGATGATATTGGAAGGGAGAGAGAGGGCCGCTACGGGAATGGAATGGAGGGGGAATGAAACTTGCTAGAGAGAGCGTCCCCCGATCTGTACTAAACTCCCATTGGGAGGGGAGGCTTTGGAAGTGGAAAAAAAAGCGTTGGCGTTTTAACGGTTCTTGCTACTATGTAGACACATCACATCTATCATCTGGTCCTGGCCTGGCTCGGTTGTGGGAGGGAGGTCTGAGAGGCATCCTTAGAAAAGCCCCATCTAGGTTCAGGTCAATTGACACATCATATTTCCTAGAGGGTGTAAGTAGCACTTGGTCCTTGCGCGTGTGTAAATCATCAGCCTATTAGCGCCTCTGACGGAATAGTCCTTTCTTGTCTCTTGTCTCCTTCAGGCACACACAGTTTCCGGTAGGCATTCCAGCCATATCTCCCCGACACTCAAACTCCTAAACAACAACAGAATGGCAAGGGAGATCTAACTCCTCTCAACATCATCAGCAAATTGTATAACATGATCATAAAATAGTCAATGAGATATCCTAAGAAAAGGATTACTTTAGACCTCTTTTATCTACTATTTATTCTTCTTGTGCACTCTTCCCTACCTTTAGAGGCTGCTGATGCTCTCATTCTGCTTGCCTTGTTTTGTCCTGCTCCGACTCCGCGGTGTAGTGACAAATGTCTGATTCAACACCTCCTCCGCGATACGACAGACAAGTGCAACCTGTCATGACAGTCCGCAGGGCTGGATATGCTCCGGTGTACCAACCAACAACAGACATCATCTCCTCCCTATGCACGGCCGTACACACCAACGCAGTCACACAAGCCCACACCTCCCTCTTCATCGCGAGTCACATCCCCTCCCACCACTGGGCTCTCTCCCCTTTGCACACAAGCTTTCCGCCAAAGCTGAGCTATTCGATGACGGGCGCTTGCAAGAGCCGTGAGACTGCAACGCTGTATCTGCAGCAGCTGACATAGGCCCGTGGGGGGGGGGGGGGAGAAAGCTAGAGAAGCAAGAGAAAGAGGGAGAGGATTGGGTCTGGCTGCAGGCTGAGCCCTGACCTGCCCCGAGCTCAGCTGCTATGCCGTGCCCGTGCATGATACGGCACACACGCAGGAATTGGTGATCTCGGGGAAGCGGGAGAATGCCAGATGGCGGTGGCCAACTCGTTCAAATTGGATGGCCTCTGATCTGCGTCCTGTATGAGCAGGACAGGCGCAGGCACCGTGGTGACTGGTCATGGTGCGTCGAGATAACACCAGGAGCTCGGGGGAGCAGCACGGTAGTGGTGTGTCGATCTGGCCTCCTCCAGCTTAATCTATTTCTCTTGGCTGATCGATATCGTGCGTACCAGTTCACAAACGAGCTGGGGTTCCCCACACGCCGTCTACCTGTCATCAGGCTTGGGACGTCCGTCGACGGGACATGACTCTTGAGATCCAGAGCCACGGGAAGGTGGTCCAAGAGTCGCCCCACGTGGTAGCATATATGTAGATGGCTTGTAATGATGTAAATGATGGCGATAATGAGCCCGGTAACTCATGGCATGAGTCTCGTACTTGCTGGTAGTCGAGGACGACAACCGTGCCTTGGATCTATGCCTACGTATGAGGCAGACTAAAAATCATCAGTACATGGACGTGACTCGTATACCAGCAACTCCCTCCACAAGGGTGCTGTACAGAGGGGACAGGCCTGTCGGTGTTGGTGGTAGCAGAGTGCCACAGTGGTCGAGAGATGGATGGGAAGAACTAAAAACCACCAAATGTCCATCACCACCTTCAACTCGTCATGCCCTTTACACAATGGTGAATCGCGGGAGCGGCTCCGCATTATGTCTTCGGCATTGGCGATGTTGGCAAGAAGCCACAGAACGGCACTCTCTCTGTTGGATTGGATCGCCATCATCCCTCATCCGGCCAAGATGAACATGAAAGAGTTTTGGCTGAAGCCATGCCAGAGTCCATGATAGCTCCTGTCTGCGTGCGGGTCAGGGGGGAACTTGGGTCCGTGAGCGCAATGCAATCAATGCAAGGCCCAGTGACGGTCGCAGGAGCGGCGCCGACGCCATGCCCACTTGGCGGCTGGCGGGATAAAACGCCGTCGAGTGACGGAATGGCACCATGGATTCCCGTGGTGGACTTTGTGGAGAGAAACGCTTGTATCAAAGGTGAGCACGGTTTTCAGCCCACGACAGAATAGGGGCCAGTCACTCCCAGTGGGGGGCTTCGACCGACAGGGCGCAAACTATTGCTGTTATCGTGAAAGAGGCTGGAGTCAAGTCAACTTGGACAGTCAGTAGAACCAACAGCTTGGCAAGCTATCGGCGAAGGCGAGCCTCGGCTGTTGAATCTCAACGAGGTGAGACATGATGGTCAAATAATAGTCAGGACAGACAGAGATGCCGTAGGCAAGCAAGCAATCAATCAATCAATCAATGCCCAAACCAATACTGGGATCTTGACACTCATGGGCCCGTGTAACATGAGCCAGTGTAAGACAATTCATCACGGTGCTCCATACACAATGCAATTTGCACTCGAATGCAGAATGCCATGGGGATTCCTGCTGGGTCACTGTCAATTCTCCGTCCGTCAGAGCATTGCATCTGTCCACGTCCACGTGGTGATCGAGTCAAACGGCACTAGCCAAGGCTTGGGTCGCCAGCCTCCTCAAGCCATCTTTAACCGGCACTGGCACTGTCAGGCAAGGGTCGGCAAGGCTCTACTAACCAAACCCAAAAGGTTAACGCTGGCATCTCTCTCCGCGTCGCATCACATCGTGGCTTGCTCTGAGATGGATGGCTGTGATATGGGCAAGGGACAGGCAGGGCACGCGAGATGGAGTCAAGCCCGACTCGGCACAAATCACAGACGACTCTCGACGACGACGGAGTGCGCCGTGAGGAACCCATGTCGATCTTGAAAAGAGGGGTTGCGAAAAGGGGCTGGTCGCCTTCCTTCAAGCAGGCAGGGCTTCGGCAGGGGGACAATGTGCCATGCCTGAGTGCCGTCCCACGTGAGAAGCACGCCACGTACGGGGATGGCGTGCCGTTCAAAGGCAGACTCATTTAACGACGCGCCGTCTCTGTGGTCAGTCAACACAAGCGAGGTAGCAAGCCGGTCCGGTTGTTTTGTATGATCCCGAGACCGTTGCCCTCGTTTGTCGGCCTCAGCTCAGAGATTGCCTATCGAAACTGTCATCGAAACGTCGTAGGGCTAGAAGGAAGCGGCCGCAAGCCGAACCTCTAGTCGATGCCACACGTGGTTATGGGTCTGGCAGCTCTCGTAGCATCAGTTTGGATTTTCAGCAAGGAGCTTGTTCACCGTATGCAAAGTCGCGAGACTTTGGGAGCCTTGATTGCTGCCCAAAGCATTCTGTCCACTTTCCTGTCTGCTGGGTGGCCCCGAGTGGTCCGCAGTGATTGTGGATATTGTCGTCCTGGAATGGTTAGAGGGATCTGTGTTGTGTTCCATGATCGTTCTCTCGTGGGTTTCCCAGGTTGCTGGCACATGGCAAAGTACTTTGTACTTCGCGTGGCCGGCAAGGGATTGAACGAGACCGGCAGAAGAACCCTGCACATTTGATTCAATTGCGCCCCGAGATGATGGTGCATCCAGAACTCAGACACATGCCGTCGGTCTCTGGTTTCAAAACACTTGTATCGGATACGTTCTAGTGGCTGTTGATAGAAGAGGGTTGATGCCTGCAGAGGAGAGGTCGTCTTCATGCGCTAGGGTCAAACAAGAGACACAAGTCTGTTGTGGTGATACACATCCTTATCGTTAGAAACAGGCTGTCCGTTGTACCGTCGAGCCGCTCTAAGCTGACAAAGGCGCTGGATGCGCAGTCAGCCGTCATGCTCCAACCAACAATATGCAATCGGCCACTGGTGAGCCGAATGGATGGGTCGGCCTGTCTTGTGTGCGCATGTTGATGAAGCGATCCGACCCGATGCCATGCCATGCCATGCCATGCCACGCCACATGGCCACATGGGCATCTGTATGGACAACCAACCGTTCCCGTCAGACGGCTCCAAGCACCGCTAGTAAGCAACAACTTGACCTAAGCAGCCAAGCAACAGCTCCAAGCTCCAGTGGATCATAAGGGTCCCGGCCCAACACATTGGTCACCGCTTTGGACCCTCATCTGCTTGTCTTCCGAGGAGAAAAAGAAAGAAAAAAGAACTTCTCCATCGGCCATGACGTCCGCCTCCGGATGACATTATCCACAGTCTCGACGACTTGCCGTAACAAGTCCCGGGGCTATTGGAAGGGCTTTGGGTCTGTGGCTGGCCTGGAACAATGCAGCTGTGGAAAGGCGCCTTATGTCGGCGTCTAAGCGACCCCACTGCTCGTGTTGCAAACGCGTGGCTTCCTCAAACCCACGTGGCGGGCTCCACCAGTGCGACGAGCAGGCAAGAGCCTTGTTGGATTTTGTCGCTAGCCCCACACCCTCGCTTTTTGTTTCCGACACCCAAGGGCATTGAGTTGACTGAGGGCTCCCATGTGGATCTCTGCCGAGTATCAACGGTGATTGAGAAAGGCGAGGTTCGAAGTCTCAGCTATCAACTCTAGCCCTGTCACGGAGGGTCAGATACCTATCTGGTTGGGTGTGAAGCCGCTCCCGTGCTGCTCCTTCAGACTTGTCTGCCAAGGAGCCATGTAGATCGTTGCCGAACCCATAAACGATCGCATACCCATCACTCTGTCGTCGGTGGATTCTGAACAAATCACACCTTGATGTTTTGTGCCGATGCAAGATTGGGTTTGTACTGTAGGTAGACATTGCCGGATCGGATCGTCTAGTCTGGACTCTCGTCTTGAGCCTCAAAACTCGTCTTGCCTGGCTGTACGAGAACGTTCCGAACTCGCATGAGGGTTCGGACGAAATCTCTTCCCCTATGGGGCTGGAGGAGGACAGCATTCTGTTTCATCAGACTGGGC